TCTATTTTTTTGAATCAAATTAATCTGTGATTTTAAGATCCTCTCAACAATCCATTTTGAACTAAAGCAATTCACACTTTTGTCGATATCATAAATATTTCACGGTGTGTTCTATCTTAAATTTAAATAACAATCTTGACGCTAATCTCGACAGTAACAAATTTATAATGAAATAAAACTTATTAGCTCTTCTAGTGGCCCTAAAATTTTATTGCTTTCCAGTTTTTAAATCATAAGGAAGAAATATATTATTCGGACACACAAGCATCAAAATCAAACATAATGGACAACTGTAGCTTGAATGGCTGAAAATCATAATAAAATAATTTATACAATAATTGTACAGATTTTATTATCTTTAGGTTAAATAGGTTAAATATTACAAATCAATATATAAAAAAAATTTATATAATTAATATTTCTTTTTATGAGTTAATGTTCCATCATATAATTAATCTTATAATTCATTAGCTTGTTATGGATTATGAATAAGCTTGTTATGGATTAGCTCTCCGATTAGGAAAGCATATGGGAAATTTCTTACACTTTATACACTACATTAAAATATTTTAAACTACTATATATTTATTTTTTAATTTATTCTGAAAAAGCTGATATGTTTTAATCTACAAAACTTTATCTATGTATATGCTTTTACTATATCTCTAAATACTGTTACATATTTGAAATGTTGTTCCAATGCGAAAAAAATCGTGGACTTATTTCTTAGAAGATGTAAAATATTACATGTAGTCTTTAATTTTTGATATCCTTAACCTACTTGGTGGAATTTAATCAGAGTGAGAAAACCTTCCATCTGCCTTTCTTCTTACTCTTGTATAGATATTCAGAATATATGAATAAATTTTATTTATATACTTTTGAGCAAATCAATTCAAACCGTAATAAGTTTCAATATACATACAAATTTCAACAGCCATCGCTTTAATATATCTGTTTCTTGAAATAAAATTCTTAATCTTCACATTTCCATTTGCAACCTTCTATACAATCTTAGCTAGTAAAGAGCTTGGAAGGACTTGCGGTCAGAATGTTGTCTCTGTCTGCCCAGATTAATATGTTACACTAAATGAATTCTTTTTAAATTAAATCAAAACAGCCAACCACTTTCTCGAAGCAACTGTCATAGTAATCTTTTTAGACCAAAGATCACCAGTAACGAACGAAGGCTCTCACTTTGGTCTGCGTTTCAAAGTAACTCGTCATCGATGACTAAGCAATGCTCACAATTAACTTCGGAGTTGCATCAATCATAAAAATAGCAGACCAAGCAAACTATGCGAAAAATATAAAAGAACAAATCGGATAATAAGAAGAACACAATTATGTATAAGAAACTGTATTACGTAAAACTAAACTATATTACCTGCCGCATCTACTTTCTCACATATCAACACAAACATAATATATCCGATATTTAATAATTGTGTGGACTCGTGTAGTTTTTGATTTTCCTGACTTTGATGCATCGTAAATAGAACCAATTTTTTCATATATTGGACCTAAGTCGCTATGAATTAAAAATTTCAATAAACTTGACGCATTATACACATCTAAAGATTAAAGTCCTAAGCTTACATTTTATATATCCTGATTATACGGTTATTATTTAAAAGGAAAATTATACATCTGACTTATTATATATTAACTGATTCCTTGATCTACTCTAATGTTACAACTAATTTTTACAACTAAAATTTCTACTTAGTTATCAATACGCTTGGAAATATAGATAAAAATCATTTACGTCTTCTTCATTTCTCTATTGATCGATATGTAAAACAAGAATAGTGTCTAAAGTTATTGTCGATACATACAAATATCTGTTGTGAAAATATTCATAGCTAAACTTTATAGCTTCGAGTTATGTAGTTACTCCACTTGTTTCTTCACACATAAGATACGAAAAATGAAAGATGTGTGAACTCTTTGAACAGAACAAATGGTTCCTCATCACTTTACTTAATCCATGATGTCAGCATAACGACTAAATTTACCTGAAAGCAATCTCAAGTTGTATCCATGCGAAGATGCCATGTTTGGTGGCAGAAGCAAGATTTTCCTGCGATTGCAGCATCGATTGTATAACATAGATTGTAAATTTTCCTATCTCTAAGGTTGGAGAAAAGATATGAAAGTAATTAACAAGTGTTAAATTGGAATATTAGGAGTTATTGCTAAAACAAAATCTTTAAAATATTAACTGTAATCAAGTTCTCAGGAAATTTTGATAATCAATTACTTTATTGTCTTTATGATGAGTTATTGATAATATATATCTTAAAGTAAATTATAATTGTTGAATTTTGAAATAACTTGTCTATAGAGAGTTAAGCTTCTTTCATATTATTTCTAGATAAAATACGAATATAATAGAATTGTTATGCGACCCATACAGTGAACTGGGTTTAAGAAGAAATACCTATTGTGTTACTTTAACTAAAAGCAAATATTTAGTTGCTGAAGCGTAAATTAAATTTTTAATGAAATACTGTTTAAAAATATTAAAATATTTATTATAATTTTTATACTTTTTCTTTAATCAAATAAACGATGTTAGATAATTATTTAAAATTCGCAACTGCAGATCACTATTTGTATAAGAGTTCATTACTATTCATAAATTAATTAATTACAAATATAACAATAATAATTTTATAAATGAAACGAGGTTAATTAACAGCGGGGTTAGAAACAGCTGTCTAGATCAAGTGAAACTAACTTCCACAATAGAGACACGAAAAGCAACATTTCTTCATCGATTACAACAATAACAACGATTAATAAAGTTATCAATCCTTATATTCAATGCTTAACTACTCCAACTTATATAAAACTCGTACAAAATTTTTTATTTAAATGTTTTTACAATACTAACGCATTTTTATCTGTTTTCTGTTTTTTGTTAAAATAAACCATTAATGATAAAACAGCCTCACAACTATAAAATCCCATTCAGCTTTAAGTAAATAATATATTTTTAACTTCAAGTATAAATGCGTTTAATTTTTATAAATAATTTTTTCTTTTTTATAGATAGTAGACTACTAACCAGATAAGCCATTTTTATCTAAATTTATTTGAATCTCATAGATTGTCTACATAAAAACAAGTAACTAATTGTACTACTGATACAGTCATTGCGGTATATTGACAGTTGGTTCTAAAACTCTTTTTGACGCACTGGTCCATATGGCAATGCTTAGTACATGGTATTTGCTTTAATATATATTTTATTATAAATTTATTAGATTCTCGGTTTTACAACTTCAATTTTTTGTTGACGCTAAGGTGCGGCATTACTCACACGAAACTCCAACGTAAAACAAGTTGTGATTCCCACTCATGCCATATGTATGTAGGAACATACATACATATATATATAAATTAGTAATTGAAAACATTTTGTTATAAAAAATAGTTTACAAAAATGGACAACATAAATTACACATGATATATATTGACAAATACCACAATTAGCTTAACCAGCCAATACTCATAACTCTCTTATGAACTCATGTATGTGAGAATTAAAATTTAGGCAAATTGATAAATATATTGCCACATGTAATGCATTAAAATAATTATAGTAAAAATACATAAGTTATACTTACCCATAAGCCTAATATGGGTAGCTCTGCTAATGAGAAGAAAACTGTGCTTCACCTAAAGTGTCTGTGAACACCATTTGCTAAGATAAGATATAAATTCTTTGGAACCCTTTTTAACTGAGCTGACACAGTTGTGATAGTTCGAAAATTTTTTTACAAAATTCAAAATCCTTAAGAACTTCCAGAGTTGTCAGGTTTGTTCTAGTGGCGTAACGAAGGGCAAAGGGGAAATCATGCACCGGGTGCCTCTCACAGATGGGTGCCAAATGGTACCCATGCTAAAAAATTAATACAGAGAAATTACAATAACGAATAGAACGAATTCAATCTAAGTACAGTAGTCTAATGTCAAAATCTTGATTTTATAGACGGGTCGGTAATAAACCGATCTTGGCTATTATACTTTTGTATACCATATACTACTTTTGTTGCATACTATTTATAAAGTAAAATTCGGCTATATATTCAACCTGTATATCAACTGGTTTGAAAGCTATGAAAAAAGTACAAATCATCAAAAATCGTTTACAACTTGAAAATAAACATAAAAAGATTAATAGATGACGCTGGAATTCAAGCATCATTAGAAACAACTATACAATCTTAAAACGAAAAGTGGCGAAATATATTGTAACGAATATTAGCTTGTATGACGTGTCTAATTTTACAAAATCTTGCTTTACGTGATCATATTAAAAATTTAGCGATTCAAAATAGTACAAAAGTCGGAAATTTATTGTCCGTACTTAAACTTGTAGCTCATTTTGACCCACTGTTAGAAAATTATCTGAAAAATGTGGAAAGACTAAGATCTGTCTCATACCTATCACCACAAATACAAAATGAATTTATTAATATTTAGGTATCCACAGTTCGTAATCAAGTAATTGATGACATTAAAAGAAATGAATACTACGGACTTTTATTTTAGTCTACAGGGTGCACAAAGCTCCCAATCCAAATTACTTAACCCTAATATGCAAGTGAGACGTAGTTGTTAATAATAGTACGCAATAAATATATAACAAAATGTGATATATATATATATTTTTCATTATTATAGTTAAAACTTTATAATATAACATTCATTATTTAATATTTTACTATAGTGTATTTTATTAAAAAAATAATAATTTCATTGGATTTTCTCTATCATAGCACTTTAATCTCTTAAAAAATAATTATTACGTAAAGGAAAGTAATTAGAACTATAGAGCCGTACTGCTTAAAATATTGAGTGAATAATTTAACATTTGGTAATAATTACAGCAAAACAAATATTTACTTAACAATAATACAAACAATAATTAATATAAGATAAGATTACTTTCTGTTCCAAACTGAAAACACATTGAAAAATAACACAAATAAGTTATTAGAAGTTTTTGTTATACAAAAACTCTTTATCTAAATTTTTATATTAAATATAGTTTAACATAAAAAAAAATTTTCTTCTGCTTGCCCTTTACATAATAAAATTTTTTTTATATACTTCTAGGATTCTTCTTTTGGTGCCTTGTTCATAAAGAACCACAAAATGCCCAGCAAACAACCTGGTGGGCTATTATTAGTTGCACCTGCACATATCATTCTTTTAGCTTCCTCCAATGAATGTTCCATTACTTCAATCACTTCATCATCTACCCCTCCACCGCTTTCGGATTTGTCCGCATCAGTAACTTCACAATAATACCTGATAAATGCAAATCACAATTATTAAATAATCATCAAATTATATACACGTCAATATATACTTACATTTTTTGAGTTGCACCATGTGAGCCTACCCCAGCCCTAACATAAAATTTTGGCTAAACTATTATATCGCTTAACTATTTCAAGGATCGTACCTGTATGTTAAAACTTCTTCAAGGCGGTCCACACAAACATCATATCCGCATTCCTCCAGCACCTCTTCTCGTGCAATTTCGACCCAACTCTTCTTTTTATCAACTATACCAGCACACATTTCCGTAGTGATGCCTAATTGTGGTGAGAATTTTTCTAAATCGACTTCTTTCAGAGAACCACCAGAGGAATAAACGATGTCATGGAAAACAGCTTAAAATATAAAAGATGATTATTTTTCAGAAAATTACATAAAATTCTTCTACGTCACAAATCGTAAATTATAAACTTCATTATAATAATTACTTACCTGGTCTAAATTGACGTACAAACACCAATTTCTTGCGTTCTGCATTGTAAATAATAATAGCCACGCTGTCATGGACCTTCAGCAAATCCCAGTTCTTCTCAACACCATTTTGCACATAATACATTCGGTAGGGTTTTAGATACTGTGAATCTGGCGGTAAGGGTCCAATCCAAGCTTTTGTTACGTTATCCATTTTAAAAGTACCTAATTGTTTTGCAAAACTTCGGGCAAGCAGAAGTATATTAAGAATTCTTTTAAACAATTTTAGTTTTTATGGAATCGAAAAATATTTTATTATAAGTAAGCACGTAAGTTACTGTGCTTAGATAAAGCACTTTTCTTCTTTTTAACCCTGACATTCACACCGCTTTGGACGGAAAAAAATCGTAATTGTTATTTTAACAAAATTTTATGTTTGATATTAAATTTAAATTCATTATGTAGGTATAAAAATTTTTGACAGTTATAGAAAAATATTAATACTGATTTCAAATAATTTTAAACTATATATCAATTTATTGTATAAAAGTTTTTAGTGTAATAAATATAATAAACAATTTTATATTTTGTGCAGATTTGGATATGATTACCTAGAATTGTTTGGTAAGTAAGTTAGAGACTATAATATTATTAGTAGCAAATTTATAAATTCAATTTTTTTATTGTAATATTGTTGTACATTTGTTTTTGTAGTTATGCTCCTAACTGAAACACTCTGTAAATGCTAACGTCGCAATAACATTTGGTTTCTTTTTTTTTTTGCTTTAATTGTTAGAAAATATTCAAAATATTACTGCAGAATTGTACTATAGTGAATTATGAACTCAATTTTTTAAAAATTTTGTAATTTATTTTGAGGTTTGATATGATAGTGAATGACATAACACAAATAATTATTTTTATATACAAACGAATCTCTTCTATACACAAACTAATTCTATGTACATATTAAAACAAATTTATTTCATATACATAGATTTTCATTCTCTCACGGGGTGCGCACAATTTAAAACTTTAATGAAATCCTGCATATTAAATCTAATATTATGAATCAACTTGAAAAACAAATACAATTCGTTTGTGACAATAAATAATGTAGTATACATTATTTATTATTTTATATAGTACATCCCGTAACTTGAACTTATAATTAGTTTTACTTTGATAAAATTTTTGCTTACACTCATACATTTACACTACATATAAATATTTTTGTTCGCAGATAAAATTTGAATATTGTTTAAAAAGTATTTAAATTCGAACATAACAATCTTGTCGAAATCTAACCAGTGTAGACTCCAAATTAGAACTATCTATCTGCCTTATCTACACAATTCTAGTACGTTATGAACTGTCAAATTTTATCATTGCCAACTTATAATTGCCAAATACATGTGTCAAAATAATTGCATCTGTGTCTGGCAGCAATTTTTCTTTGTAGAACGACGGGTAATCTGTAATAATATATAATTTTATGTTTAAAAAAAATACAACAAATAACTTAACTAAACTTTAGATCAAAAATCGAACAATAGATTGGAACACCATTGAAAAATATGATGGCTGTTAGAAACATTTTTTTGAATGCCACCCGTCGTGGGTTTTCTACAACTGCTAAAGCTTTAGCAGCGCCTAAACAATTAACAGTCCGAGATGCATTAAATAGTGCATTAGATGACGAGATTGCACGTGACGAGCGTGTCTTTCTTTTGGGAGAAGAGGTGGCCCAATATGATGGTGCATATAAGGTAAAGAAAAATATTTTTGCAATATTACTCTACTGCCGATTACGTAAACGTACGACAGTGCAGCAATATGTCAAACGCATGTTGGTGTGTTTGTGTAATGAATCTCGCTGATAAAAAGTGCACAGATTTTTAAATATTGCAATATTAATTCAAGTGTTACAATAATTTGTAAGGCACTATCGCTAAAATAGTTTTTTAGTATTAGAATAGCATTTATAAAATATATAATAAAATTTTATTATTAAAAAATTCTATTTTGTAAGGTTTCTCGCGGTTTATGGAAAAAATATGGAGATAAACGAATTATAGATACTCCCATTACCGAAATGGGCTTCGCGGGTATAGCTGTCGGTGCTGCCATGGCCGGATTACGGCCTGTATGCGAATTTATGACCTTCAACTTTTCTATGCAAGCCATAGATCATGTAAGTTCTTCTTTAAAGATCTTATCAATAATTTTATATCTACAAATTGAGTTAATGAAAGTTTCGCGCAGATTTGATAGTGCTAAAAGACTGTTATCTATAATGGTTTTGTATATGATTCAGTATAGATAATGTTTAGCTTGAATCTTAACCAATTAACTCAAGTTGTAGCTTTAATCTTATTAGAAAATACACTCATATTATTCCATGAAAGTCTTATTAGTATTTTACATTTATATGTTTATATTAAATCTTCTGCTTCAACTAATAAAAGCCTTAAAATACCAACAATTAATCGTTTAAATATTTTGTTTTTGTGAAATAATTCGATATGAATATGCAATGGAAAATGCAGGAGTGCATCAAAATGGGATAATATGGGTAAACATGTATGTGGTTCACATATAATTAGTTTTATTTATATCCAATGAGTTGAACAATGTGGGATTTAAATGACAATTTTAATTTAAATCTTCTTAAGCAACTCATAGAAACAAATCAAATAATAAACTTTTTTAAAATTTGATATATGAAATGACCCATATTATCCAATTATGCGCAGGTTAATCTTCTTAAACCACAAGTATACAGCACTCATCTAACACGGCATTTACATACACTTAGTCGCAGTATCTTACCAAATAACTACATGCCAATCTATGCTGTTGTGCAGCCACTTAGGCAGATTCCCATTGGTGATGTGTCAATTAAATCCAGAATAGTAGAAAGTCCGAAATCAACCTGGTTGAATGAAATTAATGAAATATTGGATGAAAAAAAGGAAATACGCTTGCCAAGCACAAATAACATAGGAGAGATGCGCGCAGAACCACTAATTGTGATACGAAGACGTAAAATGAAGAAGCATAAACTAAAGAAATTGCGTCGTAAGATGAAATTTGAGTGGGCTAAAGTCCGTCAACGACGTGAAATGCGTAAAGAAAAAGCATTTCAAGCAAAGCTGATAGCACAGGTTAAGGAAGGTGAAGCTTTCAGTGCAGAGAAGTATGTCGCAGAAAAGTTAAAGCAAGCCAATGAAGTACCACTTCCGCGTTACTGGAAAGGTAGACGACTGCCAGCGTTTATAATAAAAGAAAAACTTGGCATTAAATAGGTTATAAATTTTAGTTTAAAAACAAAAGTATATATATTCAAGAAAAAAATTGTTGGTATTTTAATGCAATGCAAAAATATAAAATAAATCAGAAAACCAAACCAAAACCACAATATCTTATGATTTGCTAGGTTATTAATTCCGCAGCTAAAACATTCTACATGTCAGCTGGCAAGGTAAATGTGCCTATTGTGTTTCGTGGCCCAAATGGTGCTTCTGCTGGAGTAGCTGCTCAACATTCACAATGTTTTGGTGCATGGTATTCACACTGCCCTGGACTGAAAGTGGTATCACCATATGATTCTGAAGATGCTAGAGGTTTGTTGAAATCTGCAATTCGGGATCCTGATCCAGTTGTTGTTCTTGAAAATGAGCTGCTATACGGCACTCCATTCCCTGTTGACGAAAAAATGATGGGTAAGGATTTCCTTATCCCCATTGGTAAAGCAAAAATTATGAAACAAGGCAAACATGTGACATTAGTGGCGCACTCCAAGGCTGTCGAAACTTGCCTCTTGGCACATGCAGAATTGGCTAAAAAAGGTGAGATTCTATAATGTTTTTCTTAGTTTTATATTTACTTTTAAGCTATTTATATTAAAATTTTAAAATTCTGCAAAGTAAGTTTAAATAAGATTATATAATTTTAACTTAAAACAGTTTTACTAAAATAAAATGAAAATGTGACTTCAGTTATTATGAAAAAATCCAATCTATCTTAAGTATTCATTAAGTTTATGGTGTAGGGACGCTTCAATGCTTCGTTAAAGCTCCTATTACACGTTCATGCTAAGCAGTATTTTAATCAATTGAATAAATCTAAAAAAAATCAAATATAAGTCTACTTGAAACCTTCTAAATATATTTTATATTTCAGGCATTGATGCTGAGATCATTAATTTACGATCACTTCGTCCATTAGACACTGAGGCTATCTTCAATTCAGTAAAAAAAACTCATCACTTAGTGACTGTAGAAAATGGTTGGCCACAGAGCGGTAAGCTATAAATATGCGCTGCAATGAAATTCAAATTCATAAATTATTATATAAAAACAATTTCAGGCATTGGTTCTGAAGTGTGTGCCCGAATTATGGAAGATGAGACTTTCTTCCACTTGGACGCTCCTGTGTGGCGTTGCTGTGGTGTTGATGTGCCAATGCCTTATGCTAAGACTCTAGAACAGTTTGCCATACCACAAGTTCCTGATATCGTTGAGGCAGTAACAAAAGTTATTGGAAGTAAAAAACCAAAATAATTCCACAAATACAGGGAGATAATAACTTCAAAACATGAATCAAATATACGAAAATAACCTGGCATTACATTGTTAAAAAAAAAATTAGAAAACGAACACACATTTCCGATTTTGAAATTGGCAAAATATTTTAGAAACGAAATTTAAGTTAATTTATTTTGAATATTATATAGGCGATTTGTATAGGAAAAATTTTGTTAAATAAACATAGCTAATTATGATTCGTAAGATTGGATTAAATTGAATTTATTAATCAACAAATTATTAGAGGATTTAATTAAATAATTTGATATAATTTGTAATCTATATTTATTTTAACTGTTGCTTACTAAAGACAATTTTTTTGTCGAATCTCATTTTCAATAGATCAATAGATTACATTTACAACAAATATTTAATTGGGTGTCAATCACATTTTTCTGTAATGCAATTTTATCTCGGAAGTGTTCAGATAGAGCACAAGCTTATTCAAATTCGTTTTAGATTTGTTCTAAAATTCACGAATAAAATAAATAAAACTCAACTTATATTTTATTTAAAAATTTGTAATAGTTTTTTGATGAAATATTAATATGTCTACATTCATACATCATATTTTTTATACATTTATATAAAGATAGCGCAACGGCATTTGGTGAAGTAATTCAAAGAACTTAAATCGCCATAAATAGAAGTTTGCATTAACATATTTTTTAGTTACAATTTTACCATTTTTAATACTTTTTTTAGAGCAATAATTGAGTAAAATATAGTTGTTAAATAAATGAGTTTAGGTAACATAATCTCCTTCAAGCGCAATACAATTATTCCAACGCTTCTCTAACTTCTCGATGCCGTGCTTGTAGAAGGATTTCTCTTTTACCTCAAAATAGGCTTCAGTTTCAGCAATTACTTCTTCATTTGAGATGAATTTCTTACCGGCGAGCATTTTTTGAGATCAGCAAATAGTCAGTAGTCGCTGGGGGCCAGACCTGGACTATACGGTTGATAAGGGAGCAATTCGAAGTGTAATTCGTGCCATCGTTTTTATTGATGCATTGTCTTAGTGAAACAAAATTTTTTTCTCCGCATTAAGCGGTCGTTTTTTAACAATTTCTGCTTTCAAATGACACAGTAATGCCATGTAGCAGTTACTATTCATGGTTTTTCCCTTTTCGAAATAGTCAATGAAGATTATACCATGTGTATAATCTGAAGCCATAACCTTCCCAGCTGATTGTTGTGCCTTTCGACGCTTCGAACGTGGTTCACCGGCTGCAGTCCACTCAGATGATGATCGTTTGGATTCCCGAGTAAAGTGAAGGATTCATGTTTCATCCATTGTCACATATCGACGCAAAAAATCGGATTTATTACGTGTAAACATGGCCAAACACTGCTCTGAATCATCAACACGTTGTTGTTTTTGATTGACTGTGAGTAAACGCGGCACCCACTTTAAAAAGAGCTTTCTTATGGTCAAATGTTCATGCATAATTGTAAACACACTACCTTCTGATATCTTTACGGTCTCAGTTATTTCACACTATTTCAATTTACGATCAGATATAGCCAATTTCTGGACTTTTTTGATGTTTTCTGGAGTAACCACCTCAATTGGACGACCAGAACGTTCACCATCATCGGTGTCTGTACGACCATGTTTAAATTCAGCAAACCAATAACAAATAGGTATTTTCGATGGAGTAGAGTCCGGATAACGCTTTTGAAACCATTGCTAAGTTTGTACAGTATTTTTTTTCATCCAGAAGCAATGATAAATTAACATGCGAAGTGGCTGCCACTTTTGTGCTGACTGATCGAAATGTAATGAAATTGTACACATTGAAGTTAGTACTTCATAAACGTCATATGGATTTGGCAATGGCAGCGCCATCTGTGTGCCAGTCACACGACTTATTGAGTGATGTATTATGTATCAATTTATAATCATTTATATTAATTCTGTGGCGACCCAGTTGGCTGTGAATTTATTGAATTTAAAAAGTAAAATTCAATTTCAAATATTTTTAAGTTTTTTGTTTTGATTGAGGAGAACGTTCCGATTTTTCTCTCTGTAAAAAGTTGAATAAAAGTTTATTAACATTGAAAATTTTTAGAGTTTTATTAATTAGCAAGGTGAACAGATCATTGCTAAATTGGTGACCCCGACGTGATCTCGAAAAAGTTTAGATTTAGAAATATTAACTTCTGAGCTAAATATCTAATTATCGAGCTGTGATGTCAGTTGCAGACGAAGGTGTAGTAATGGCTTCTGATAGTGGAAGTGTCGTAAACCGTGTAGCAGTGAAGGTGCCACCGTTTTGGCACGAGCGACCGGAGATTTGGTTTGCTCAGATCGAGGCGCAATTCGCAGTAGCTGCCATTACGAGTGACATCACACAGTTCAACACGGTAGTAGCAGCGATTGAGTCAAGTGTTATCGCCGATGTAAGTGATGCGGTGCTTCATCCTCCTGAAACTGGAAGATACGCTAATTTAAAGGCTTGCATCATAGAGCGGTACAGTGAGAGCGAGCAGCGGAAGATTCAACGGTTGTTGTCAGAAGTTGAACTTGGTGATAGACGCCCAACACAGTTGCTAACGGAGTTGACAGCGTTAGCTAAAGACAAGGTGAGTGATGAGTTTCTTAAGTCTCTTTGGCTGAAGCGTTTGCCACCACAAGTGCGCGCTATTCTGCAGGCATCGAACGTGGCACTAGCAGAGCTGGCGAAATTAGCAGACCGTATTTGCGAGGCGGGTGATTTTCAACAGATAGCTGTAGCGTCAGCCTCTGATTGTCCAGCCTATTCTGAGAATGCTGTGATTTTACGAAGGCTTGAGCAAATCGAACAGCGTCTGAGTCGTTTGGATTTACGTCGTAGTGAGTCGGTGCAAAGTCGATCGTCATCGAGGAGGCGTAGGCGAACTCGTTCCCGACCAGGAAGTCATCCAGATTGGTGCTGGTATCACGAAAGGTTTGGGGATAGAGCTAATGCTTGTCGGCAGCCCTGTAGTTTTGTGGCAAGCTCTCATCAGTCAAAAAACTAGGCACTCCTTCTACGTCGTCGAGCCGAGAAGGGGTTAGTGTTCGTATAGCTCGACTTAGTATTAAAGATCCCGCCACGTCGACCGTTTTCCTCATTGATACTGGTGCGGACATATCAGTTTTACCGAAGTCGTTCTGTCGTTGGAAGCAAAGGGCTAACAGTGTTGCATCAGTTAATTTATATGCCGCTAATGGTACGCCTATTCAAACATTTGGCGAGCGTCGACTGCTTTTGTCTTTGGGTTTGCGTAGAGATTTCCCGTGGACGTTCGTGATTGCGGATGTTAGCTGTCCTATTGTTGGAGCCGACTTCCTTAATCACTATGACTTGTTAGTGGATTTGAAAAGGAAGCGGTTAGTTGATTCGAAGACGACTTTGATGATGAAGGGTAAGGCTGCTGTGTCTCAAGAAGATACTGTGCGTGTGTGTGGTTCAGTTTCAGCTTATGCTGAGCTGGTTAATGAATATCGTGATTTAGGCATTATGAGTGCAAATCGGATGGGTTTAGTTACTAAGGTTGAACATTGCATCGAGACATTTGGTGCGCCGTCATTTGCGCGTCCCCGACGTTTAGTTGGAGCCAAACTTGAAGAAGCCAAGAAGGAATTCCAATTTTTAGTCCAGACAGGGATTTGTCAACCTTCGAAAAGCTGTTGGGCAAGTCCACTTCACATGGTTCGCAAAGGCGATGGAAGTTGGAGACCGTGTGGCGATTATCGCATGCTCAACGCGCAAACTAAACCTGATCGGTATCCGATTCCGTTCATTCATGATGTGACGAGTATTCTTCATGGTAAAACTATGTTTTCGAAGATAGATTTGCAGAAAGCGTATCATCAGATACCGCTTGCACTAGCAGACATTCCGAAGACAGCTATTACAACTCCGTTTGGCCTGTTCGAGTTTCGCTTTATGACTTTCGGTCTCCGTAATGCTGCCCAGACGTTTCAGCGTTTTATGAATGAGACTCTAGGTGATCTTAATTTCGTTTTTGCGTACATCGACGATATTTTAATTGCGTCAAAAGATGAAGCAGAACACAGAATGCATTTGCGACTGGTTTTAGATCGACTTAGAGAAACTGGTTTGACCGTGAATTTTGCCAAGTGTAAGTTCGGCTGTTCCGAGATCGAGTTCCTTGGGCACGTTATTAGTGCAAAGGGTTTACGTCCTCCGGAGAGTAAAGTTCAAGCTGTTCGTGATTTTCCTCTGCCAGCAACGGTGAAACAGCTTAGACAATTCTTAGGCATGGTGAACTTTTATCGGCCGTTTCTGCGTAACGCTGTGCAGAATCAGCAGCGGTTGTTTCATCTTACACCAGGTAACCGCAAGAATGATAAGTCGGTGATTTCTTGGACTCCAGATGATATAGAGGTTTTTGAGGCTTGCAAGAAGGATCTTGCCCAAGCTACGTTGCTTAACTTCATGGCTCTGGATGCACAATTGACGCTCACGACTGATGCTTCAGACGTTGCGGTGGGTGCTGTTCTCCAACAGGTAGTGAAAGGTGTGACTCAGCCATTGGCATTTTATTCAAAAGGTTTGAGTCCAGCGCAGACTAAGTATAGTGCTTATGATCGTGAGTTGACTGCTATCTATCAAGCTGTCCAGCATTTTAAGTATGCATTAGAGGGACGTGATTTCGTCATTTTTACGGATCACAAACCATTAACGTTTGCGTTCAGGCAAATAAGTGAGAAGGCATCTCCTCGTCGTGCAAGACAGCTGGAGTTTATTAGTCAGTATTGCACTGATATTCGTCATCTGGCTGGTGCAGATAATACGGTGGCTGACTCTTTGTCTCGGGTTGCTACGGTTCAGTTGGAGGCAAATGTTATTGAGTTAATTGCTGAGGCGCAGAAGACTGATGCAGAGTTGCTCGCTCAGCTGAAGAGCCAGTCTGAAGATGGTGTTGGGTTGAAGAAGTTGAGATTGCCGGATTCGAGTATTGAACTGTACTGTGATGTGTCAGGCAGTCGTGTTCGTCCTTTTGTTCCCGCAAACTGTCGGCAGCTGGTACTCTCAAAACTCCATGGTTTGGCTCATCCTGGTATTCGAGCAACGCGGAAATTGGTGCAGGCTAGGTATGTTTGGCTTGGTTTGGTTAAGGATGTAGCTGTGTTTGTGCGTAGTTGCATTGCGTGTCAGAAGTCCAAGATTCAGCGGCATACTAAAACACCAATTGGTTCGTTTGCTGATATTGATAGTCGGTTCCAGCATGTTCATGTTGACATTGTGGGTCCATTGCCTTTGTCTCAGGGGAAGCGTTATTGTTTGACTTGCGTCGATCGTTTTTCTCGGTGGCCTGTTGCTGTGCCTCTGTCGGGCATTACGGCAGAAGAAGTTGCAGCGGCTTTTATCGACGGTTGGGTGGCAAGTTTTGGTTCTCCGCAGGCTATTACCACTGATTTGGGTCGGCAGTTTGAGTCTGCTGTATTTCGGGAACTGACGAGATTGCTTGGAGTGAAACACTTTCATACCACGGCTTATCATCCTCAAGCAAATGGTATGGTTGAACGTTTCCATAGAACATTGAAGGCAGCCATTCGATGTCATTCCTCAAGTAATTGGACGCAGTCTCTTCCGCTTGTGTTGTTGGGATTGCGAACGACACCGAAACTAGACCTAAATGCTAGTCCTTCAGAGATGTTGTTTGGAAATCCTCTTTGTGTTCCAGGGCAGATGCTTTCGGATTTCAAGCAGAAGTCGTCCGAGACTGATTTTGTGTCGGCGTTGCGAAGGGCTTTAGCTAAGGTTAAATCCGTTGAATCAACAAGACATTGTCATCCATCTGTGTATGTTCCGCGTGACGTTATTAATTGTAAGCACGTTTTTCTTCGAGTGGATCGTGCTCGAGCTCCACTTGAGCAGCCTTACGAAGGTCCATTTGAGGTGCTGAGTCGTAATGAGAAGACGTCTGTTATTGTTTGCCGTGGGAGAGAGGTGACTGTTTCGAATGATAGGTTGAAGGCGGCGTACTTAACGTGTGATGATCTTGAACAGGTTGTTCCAGAAACGCGTCAGCCTTCAGCGCTGTTGAATGGTGATCAGTTAGTGACTTCTGGTGATTGTAGGCGTGAATCCCTGTTGCCGATTCCGAAAGTGACACGAGCTGGTAGAGTAGTGCGTTTCCCAGCAAGGTTAGCGGAATTTCGTGATTAAGAGTGGTGTTGTCGACTTAGTTGTGGTGTCGCGTTGTTGCTAGTACTCCATCGCTAGGAGGGGGTACTGTGGCGACCCAGTTGGCTGTGAATTTATTGAATTTAAAAAGTAAAATTCAATTTCAAATATTTTTAAGTTTTTTGTTTTGATTGAGGAGAACGTTCCGATTTTTCTCTCTGTAAAAAGTTGAATAAAAGTTTATTAACATTGAAAATTTTTAGAGTTTTATTAATTAGCAAGGTGAACAGATCATTGCTAAAATTCAATTATTAAACAATATGAAGACGATAAATTTGTTATAAACGTTTTCATATATATATATGGAATCATAGTCGAGAAACGTAAGTGTATTGAACAATGATCTGGGCTTTAAAAGACCTTATTTTTTAAGTTAAAGTTAAATATCATCAAGAAGCTTTTAGTAATAATAAATTATCATATTTACTTATAGTAAATTAAAACTGTACAAATTATGATAAATGCTATCTATTTGTTGATATAATCGATACATATTAATGAACAATTTAATATTAGAATATTTGTTTGTTATAAAAGTCATGAAATAACTAACTTGAGCACATATTTTGAAATATTAAGTTATGTCAACATAATAAGATAGAAAATATACTAAAACAAACATTCGAAATAAAAGTTGAAATCCTAAAAAACAAAACGACTCAAAAATAAAATACAATAAACAGTCATTAACTTATTAGCTAGCATGTGTTAATAAATTTCCGTCAAATGATTAAGATGCTTACGTTACTTAAACTTTTAGGACATATACAAATCGACTTTATAGATGTGTTATTACTTAGAGAAATGATGGTTATCTGTTAAAAGTTATATAATTTAGATATTAAAACTGTATAATTAATCTAATTACAATAATGAGAGAAGGGATTCAAAAATAAAGTAACAATGGAGTTTTTCGATATTCTTGATTTTGAATTAAATCTATAAACAATATCTCAATAGATATATTAGCATTTATTATTATTATTATTTACATCAATATAAATCTTTTGAAAGTTTAAGCCTATTAAAACGCTTAAACTTATTTTAATAGACATATCCTATATCACAAGTTTTTAAACTATGAAATTATAGAAACTCACCACGAAATCATTACTTCTAAAGTGGCACTTAAGTTAGAGACCAAGCATTGTTCAACACTGTTTACAGTCAAATGTCAACTCACATTTGTTGTTGTTGTTATAATGTTTTGACGTCAAAAATAGTGTAGTTGCAAATAATATAATTTTGAAGACGGGCACTTAGATGCGTACTATAATAAAATTTAGTAAAAATTACATTGCCTATAATTAAAGAACGTTAATGGTGCTAATTATATATAACAGAAGGTAGGAAGTTATGTTATGGCTTCATGCTGCTCGGATGATAGCACAAAGGCCCCCGAAAATTTTCATATATCTGACGATGAAGTAGGAGTGCTAATTACTGAAAGGAAGACCATTGGTATAACTGGAAAGGATGTGGATATAATCGGAACTCTTAAATGTCCACTATGTAGAACACGACAGAAGCGTTTTAATTGCAAAAATTGCATAAAAAATGGAACGATAACACACAGTACGAATAAAAATGGTGAAAGGTAAATATATATATAAAATGCATTCATATTCGTCAGGTAAATAAAATGAATTAAATGTTTTGTTTCTTTTTTAGTCTTAACGAAAAACAACAAAAATACTTAAGTATTCAAGCTGGCTTGAAAGCATTCAGCTCTCGCTATGACCGTTTCATAAAAGAACACAAATCAAAAGAGAATGTACAATTACAAATAAAACGAAAAAAGGAAGAATTGACCTTTCTCAGGCAGGTCATTACCAAAAAAAGGTATAAACTAACGGAACTGAGGGAAAAGCAAGAAGATTTGTGCAAAGTAAATTTTGATAAAAACAAAAATCTACCTAGATATGCAATTAAAGTGAAGGAACTAGACAATTATGTATTAGATCGTTTTGAAAAAATAAGTAAACTGCGCGAGCGACGTTCGAAACTATTTGAAAAATTGCAGGAGGCGACTAGACGAGGGATAACTCAGTTAGTTAGTTACATATTTCCTATACAAGAAATTGTGCTAAGAGATGAGTTAAAACAAAGAGTCCAAGCTGCGATTGCTAACAATGTACAAAATGAAGAATCGGAAACAATAGCTGCATTAGCGGATGCTAAAAATACATCTTATATACGTGGCAAATGGGTTTTTCATGGAAGTGGAATAAGTGAAATGCAATACCGCATTGTAGCACCTTCCTTACCGGCAAACGGCGACTACACAGCTTATCTGGATTGGTTAACAGATAATAAGGATGATGTACCCAAGAGTAGTGCAAATGAAATAAGCCCAAGCCGTGTGGGCGCTTACCGTATAATGGGTGCTCTAACATATACCACTCAACTTACACAATTAATGAGTTATTATTTAAACATTCGTCTGCCATATAAATTGGCTTATGGGTAAATAGTTGACAAGTTATTTAATATCTCAAATAATTTTATTTATATATTTTATTTAATCATAGGGATTTTTGCAAAAAACTCAATGAAGAGCAATTTTTACGAAGAGTTACTAAATTAAATTCAAACATAATGTATCTCGCATACACACAGCAGGTTATGCTGCGTGCACTAAATGAGAATCATACATTGGAAAATATTTTGGCTATACTCGATGCCGAAAAAAGTAACTTAGGCAGTTATGGTTATCATGAAATATCTAATGCCCCGCTGATGGAATCAGTAGACTCATTATTATTAGGCATCGAAACGGAATCTGAATCAGAAGGTAATTTTATATTCTTATATGTTTTTACATTATTTTATGTAAATGTCAAACTCATAGATGAGAACTCTCTGCGTTTGGATTGGGAAGCTTTACCAAGTTTACCACCGCAACCAGAAAATTCGAATTTAATGCCTACCGGCCAACAATCAACGATCACTGAAGGGCTTATGACCTCTGCAGCGAATCGTATTTCATCAATATTTCGTTGGAGAAAGTAAAAGAAGAGTACTATATATTTTGTCACTTATTTTAGGTATTACTTAAGTATATTTATGCGTTTAGTAAATGACAAAAAATTTATGTTGTTACTATTTTACAAAGATGAAATTAGTTATCCTAGCTCATATAGGATTTTGTCATACAATGAAGAGCAAAATATTCCATGCGTGGTGATATACCTATAAAAATAATCTATTGTATGGCAATCTGCTTAAAATTTTTAAGTTTATATATGCACATTACCATATGCAATAACAAACAAAAAAGAACATATTTTTAACTTTCATTAATATAAATAAATAGATATAAAATTAGGTTTATTAAAATTGATCTTTTATATACCCATATACATTTCTTAATTTATTATTTTAGCAAATTTTTTGTTCATGAAACAATGTAATTCAGACTTATTTTTAGGAAATTTGCTGTAAATAAAAAATAATAAACTTATATTCAAAAAATCATTTAAAATAAATTTTATTTTGCCAAAATTATTATTCAGTCCTCACCCAGTAATATCCCCAAAAGGTTTGCAAAAGATAATTGCTATTTAAATAAAATTTTTTTAATTTTATACGTTAAATAACCAATCAGCAAATTAAAGCTACAAAAATTGTAATGTGATCAGTTTTAAGTTTTTAATTAACAGCTTTTATTACGACTAAACGTAACTAACAATAACAACTGCACCGTAAAATTATTTTACAAGTTGAATACAATTGAACTTTAAATATTCGCAGTTCGATTGACAGGAAAAATAAATTTTATGGCGTCTTAATTTAGTTGTCACAACTTAACTTTGTATAGATTTAGAAAAAGTTCTTGTCCTTCACCCGTATATAAAATCAAGAAATTTCCAGAAGGAAGAGTAGATTAAAATTATTTAAGATTTTCTTTAAAAATAAAATTGAAATCTGTGTGATATATTAATTGCAAACTTCTACATATTAGATATGTATATGTAAATAAATACAATAGAATATAAGTACATATAAAATCTTAATAGGTCTTGTCAGCTTATCTTTCGATTATCCACATAAATATTGGTCAACACGAATATTTGCAATTCAACTAAAATTAATTAGTTTTCCTTAAGGGTAAACAAAAAAAACAACTATTAATGAAAACAATATTATAGTAGAAGCTTCCTTAAGTAGACCATGGTTGCAGATCATTTGGTCATTCAAAGGGTATGTAAGGCTTAAGGATTTAAGAACCAAATTTAGATATTGATAAAAGAAAACTTGCTCAATCAATAGAAATGTTCGCCAGGAGAGTTTTCATTGCAGTATACACAAATCGACTACATTTTTATTACAAGATAAACATATATAACAAACATATGTATATAAATATAAAACTGTTTTAAAAATGTGAAAATTCCTTGCTATCATAATATTTAACTTTTTTTATAATTTGTGTGATTAATTTATTTTACAGTTTAAACTAAACTACAATTTTTTTTTAAATTTATTGTTTTTATCTTATTTCATCTAAGAACATTTAAAAAATAAATATTTTAAAATATAAATGGAAAAACAATATCGCCAACACAATATTTTTTATTCTCAATCAATAAGACTAAAACTTAAAAATTGACTTTTGTAACTGTTGCGATGTTGTATCCGTGGAAAATGCGACATCTAATGAAGGCATAAAGGCCACTGATTGTAATGGAGGTGGTGTTATAGGTGGTGAAACAGGTATAGGCGGCGGAGGTGCTATTAATTGTAGTGGCAGTGTTGGCATATTTTTAAATGATGGAAAGGCTGCGACTTTGTTTGGTGGTGACTTTGTGATTGTTGTGCAATGGGTTATATAGTCATAGAAACCAATTGTCTGAGCTTGTTGTAATGGTGCTTGTCATTTGTTTCTTGCAAACGTGCTTTGTGAAGGATTACTTAGCTTTGATTTTTGCGATACTTCATCCTATAATTCAATAATTAATTAATATATATTATAAATAATATCCATATTAAAAACTACACTCACCTCTAAATCTCTCAAAGCTTTTACAACTTGATTAACATCCACATTCGTGAGTTGTTTGACCCCACCAGAAAAGTCATTCCCAATCTTAGTTGCATTAGGCAGTTGTAATTTTCTATTATAGTTATTGTTGTTATTGTTATTTATATAATTTGAATTTAAATTGCCTGAAGTCATATAATTAGAAACTTCACCAAATACTCCAAAGTTATGCATATTTTCTATTTTTGTCTTTTTTGATTTTGACTTTGGCAAAGTAGGTTTGGGTGGTGGAAAAACTTCAACGACTTCTACGCAATCCGACTCGCTGCTATTGCTTTTTAAATCTAAGTCTATAGTGTAAGATGAATTTAACAGAGTTGCAGTATTTGATGGTATAGGGTTGGTGTAAGTAGCTGTGTTTATTAATTGCTTTGATGTTTGTAATATATCTTTCGTGCTCTTAAAATCATCAAGATTGATAACGTGGGGTGTTATTTCTCCCGTGGAATGTTTTTCAGTTTGTAGAGTTTTACTCATAGTAGAAATGGCTGTTGTTGTAGCAGTAGACGATGATGACAGTGACGTTTTGTATATATTATAGTCAGTTCTTTTAGAGGTTAAGGTCTGGTCATATGTGGGATCTAATCCTACATTGGCAGTTATAGGCATGTGATTTTTGTTACTGGTCATATATTCGCCAGTATTTTTTTTATCAGCATTAGATTTTGCAGCTTTATTTTTACTTTGCTTATTTTCATCTCTGTTTTTTCGTTTTAAACTATTGGACGCAACACTGCTTGCTACAGATTCCGTATCTGAATTTGCACGTGAGTGACTACTGGTGGGCAAGTCTTCCAAATGTTTTGTAGATGGCCATTCAGCGATTTGCTGAATCATGGTATTAACAGATTTGCTTTGTGAATTCTTTTTTGTTGCCTTTTTTTGCGTCTTTACTTTATCAAGTTCCTTTTTAAGTTCCTCCTGGGTCATCCAGCCCGGAGGCCAAAGTTTGACAACTTTTTCTTTAAAATATATATTAACGAAATCTTCGATTGTTTGATTCCGGACACCAAGTACGGAAAATGATGCCAAACGGACTTCATAACATTCATAAATCAAATTCCTAAAAACATTCATTTTGTTAAATTCAATATTCATTTAATTATTTTAAATACCTTATGTAAGATGTAAACGGAAATTTCTTCTTTGGCATATTTGGTGGCTGATCATTGTTCAAATCATCGACTCTGCAAAAGATATAAATACAATAATAATTTTGTTTAATATTTCTTTTTAATGACAATGACATAGGAAATTTAATCAACTTTGTTCTTACTGGGATTCTGCATATTTTCGTAATTCAGACTCGTAACTTGGAATGGCATTCGTCATTATATAATCAATTGCTTTTCGTAATTTCTTTAAAGTTTGTAAGCCTTTCAGTTTTTCCTCATTAACACGCATTTTCTTCCCCGTATGTTGCAAGTAGTATTTTGGCAATCCCAAATGGTATTCCAAATGTGCAAAAACCATATTTCTCTTCGATTTATCTACACCTATCAAGAACTCGTCAATTCTAATATAAAATTAATAAAAAATAAATTTATATATTATATTAAAAATATATGTACTTATTATTTACTTTAAAAATTGGGTCATATGTTTTTCATCCATAGAAAAATTTTTTCCGTTTATACTTTTTATTTTCATACTATCTCGAAACTCAATAATACTTTTCAAGATCTCAGCATCAAGCTCAGGAAGTTTTGTGTCTGATGAACGCAATTCTGTAATTAAAAAAATAATTTTATATAATTGTTCACATTTTTCATTATCGAAAATTTACTGTTGACTTTGTCTTCAGCGTTGAATTTTTTTGCGTTCTGCGAGTTATTATCAGAATTAACTGAATTTCTACTAGAGTCATCATCGGAAGATTTAGTTACTGCTCCTTTGACTTCTCCATTAAGCGAGTTTGTATCACTGCCTGCTTGAGATTTCAGAAAATTATCGCGTTTCGCCTTTAGCATGTCCTTTACGGTAGTTGTTTTTACTGTTTTTTGCAAAGGGCGTTCTTTTTCATAATCTGAACCAATTTCATCAGTTGTGGGCTTGGGTGAATTGGAAGATGAGGACGATAAACTGAATGGTTTGACTTTGTTACCATTTTGTTGCAATTTCACTTTAGCTACGTTATTTTTTATATTTTTTGCCGATGAATTACTTGAAACACTTCCTGTTTTACTTTTCGCATTTTCAACTGCTGTATCTTCACCAGAATCTTCACTTTCGTCTTCAGCGTCATCTTCTTCATCTCCGGATGATGATGAAGAAGTCGACGACTCTTCAGATGAAGATGAAACTATGCGTTTTTTATTTCTATTTGGCATTTTAATGATTTCATCTGTTTTCGTTTTAGGTACATCTGTTTTTAAATTTTTAAAAACCAACGCACCACAATTAATATAGAAACCACCTTCTAGGGTTTCAACTTCCTCAGGGATAACTTCATCATACGCGTCTGTGTTGTCTATAAAGGGATCGCTTTCATCATAACCTACTCCTTTATCACAATGATCATCTTTTTTACTTCCCTTGCTGTACGCATTACCATATTTAAGTTCCAACTCTCTTGCAATACGGGCTACATCGTCATCGTTGTCAGCGAACGGATCGGATGAAGCCCTCTTCTGTTTTATTTTCTTTTGTTTTTTCTAAAATGAATTACATATGTTACTAAATTAATATATGTTATTAAATATTTAATAAAATCAATTTTACTTTTTCCAAAAACATTAATTTCGAGTAATTAAATTCCGGGTATGTAGAGGAGTCTGTTTGAAAGAGTTTCAATTCTAAACGTACTGTCTTGTTGCGATTCTTCTCCTCTTTCTCATTTTTGTCATCATCTTGCAAAAACTCGCTTCCAAACCTTAACAATGACGTGGATCCAGTGGTGAAGGCACCAGCTCCACTTAATGCACTGGATGTGGCAGTCTGACTTATAGTAGATAAGGCAACACGTTTGGGCTCGGGCTTAGACATTTTGTTTGAATTACATTTAATTTGTAAAGTTTGCATCTACTGTTTTTAATGCCAATAAAGTGTTTCCTTTTCGTTTTTATTTTCTCCTCCTCGTGTTTTTGAAATTTGTTTCTCTGCGCGATTCTTTTTTTACTCAGCTTTTATTTTAACAAGTTAAACAAGTTTGCAATTCCAACTTTATTGCTAAATATACTGTTTATATACTGTTATAGCATATATACTGTTTCTTTAAAACTATAACTGTATTTTCAATTTTCATGGCTTAATGTTCCGGTGTTTGTCTTTAATCAGCGAATTTTGTCACAACAAAAGATACTAGACGCCTCAAAACAAAAACTTTTAAAAACACTGAAGTTAGTTATTTTACTATATATTAAATAAAACATATATTATATGGTTAAAATTTTAAGTTTACTTCAATTTAGTAATAAACTATATACAAACTTATTAAGTGCAAACTCAAATATAATTTACACTTTTGTGTAAAAGTGGAACAAAATTGCAATAATACAATTCACCGCTTTATTAGAGTTGCCACTTTTAATATTTTACAGATTGTACGTGTATATTTATGATGCGATAAATACACATAATAGGTCTGTTCCACAAGCTACTCGTAATAAAATTCAAGTAAAACACAAGTACAAACTGAGAGCGTAAAGTCTGGTAAGAGCAGCAGTACTGCGCAAATAAACAATGCAAAAATTTAAATTTTAATCAAAACAGCTGATACACACATCAAACAAATTTTACATGAAATACAATATACGAATGAAGTCTGTTTAGCATTTTCAAATTTCGACAGGTATGTTACGTTCTCTCAGATACTCTCATTTACTCGAAAATTTGCTGGTAGAACGCACTTTTGTATACACAGTGTTACTCAAAGTTACTACGAGTAATTCATGGAACAGATCTAATAATTCAAAAGCACTTTATTTTCATGAGAATACTTGTCACGGTTATGAGTTTTTTCTGTTTTCGTAGTTTAATATTATTCCTTTTATAAAGTAGCTGATTATATTAAATGATCACGAAAAAACAATTTTTATTAGTTATGTTTAATTAACTATTTTTATTTTGATTAACATTTCTTTAACATTTTACTAAGTAATCAACACGTCAACACATCAAGTTGAACTATAAAATATAAGTTCATGTGTTTTAATTCATAATTATTACCGACTTACTATCAAATAGAAATATGCGAGTTCGTGTGTGAGTTCGAGTAAATTGAAATGTCTTACGGATTTTTTGCACATAAGTGCTTATGTAAATATTTATTTATTTATTGAACTTATTTATTATTTTTGGTTAAAAGTTTTCTAATTTATTTATTTATTTATTAAGTTTCACAATAGTAATATTTATTTTTTATCTAATTTACGCTACTCGAAATTCTGGTAAATACCAACATTTATTGCAATACCGACATAACTTACTATTTCCCTCAATTTACCATAAATTTACTCGAACTCGCACACGACCATAGTAATTTTTTCTTTCAATAAATCTGTATACGGTGTATACTGTTGGCTGTTGTTACCATTTCTATTAACCTGCACTGCTTGAAGTAATATACGCATTATATTTTCAACAACTTCAATTAGTCTTAAATTTAATTTGCACAGGTATAAAAAGTGCTTTGCATCGTTTCAAGTTTTAAAATGTTTGGTATTACTACCTGACCGTTTAGATTTAGTTAAACTTACTCAAGCAATTCAAATTGTTTTAAGGTCAATTGTTGTGATACACATGTTCGATATCTACCCTGTTCAAATTTAATGTTAAAAAGAGGAACTATGTACGGTTTAAACTTGCAAATTAAAACAAATGTGTTTGATCCTATCATTTATAATACATATACGAATTTATTATAATATAATTATAATTGTATACAGATTAAAATCTTTTTAATCTGTAAGCATTTATGCTTATTTTAAAAATACTGTAATGGTAATTTTAGTCTCTAATGAAAATATGTAATATAAATCTACATATAACCAATGTATGAAATATTCATACATTGGTATACATTCAGTCTAGAAAATTGTTTAATATGTTTACACTTTATTAAAATGATTAAAATTTTGATTCACTGATTTGCTGATAGAACATTTTGCTACAATACATTCCATGTACATAATGTTGTCAATTTAAAATTTTCTGAACCTAAACAAAAATATATATATATTTTTAATATATTTTTTTCGACTTGTACTCAACCATTAACTACAGGCAATCATAATAAACAACAACACTTATAGAAAAAATCACAGACTACCACCACCGTTCAAGGAATATCTCAAAACGTCTGATAGACGTTTGCGTTGCAAGAAGTTAATTGTAAACAGGCTGTAAACACCTACTTTTATTTTTAAGTATAATTGGTTTAGTAAGCATTTTACTATAGTGCTTTGGTGGATGCTATAACCAAAAGAAAATTCTTATTAAATTTCAAACAAACGCAAATAATAAAAAAAATTAAATGTATCAGTAAATAAATTTATAATCTATCATCTAAAATCGATTATATTTCATAAATTTAGAAAATAAATGGATCGGTGGACAAAAAAACAAACAATTTATTTAATTATCTACATTAAGAAATTTAACTCTTAATAAGAAAACAACAAATTGCATTTTGTTTTTTTTTTTTGTTTGGTTTAATTGTTCACTAAGCTCTGAAAGTTAATTTGTAAACACTTGAAATTGTTAATTGGCTTAAAATGTGTTGAATTTATAATAAACTATAACACCATATATTTAATGCAATTGCATGTTTTAGTAAGACCATTTATCTTGTTTACATATATTTTGCATGTAGTTCTGCTCCTATTTATTATTACCATGTATAATATTATTTCTATGTATAGTGAATTTAAATTTTTTTGACTTTTTCTCCCAATTTTTTAATTTGCAAAATATAATCTAAAATTAAATTATATTAAATGTGAACTAATTGCCAAAAAATAAAATGTAGCCAACACCATTATTATTTTCATACGTAACGACGGTAACTATAGTTTTATTGTTATTTAACATTCTGGCAGCACTATTTTTATGCCTTCAAAAATCTAAGAATATTAATGTAAAAGGTAATGAGAAGATTTTGCAGCAGTAAGGAAAAATTCCTTGTGTGAAAATTATAATTTGCAAAAATAAAAGCAAATGAAATAAATGTTTATTTAATTCATAAAAACTGAAATGCTCATACGACGCTGCGGAAGTGGAAAAAATCCAAATAAGAGGAAAATACAATAAATGGGAGAAAGACTGTACGAGCAGAGATACCACGAAGCAAGGAAACAGAAACGGCAGTGGAGACGACAGCTACAAAGATCGAACTATTGTTTAAATTGGAAGAATGTGTGACGTGTGTTCGGATTTTTTACATTTGCTAGAGTCGTGTAAGTTGAGCATTCTATGAAACGCTTAAGCGTAACATAATTTCCGGCACACTAAATTGGCTTTATATGCCGGTCTTATATGTCTTATATGCCATTAATGATTCATTTTATTTCTTTATATTATATAAAACATTTTAGATGAGGCGAGAATAACTAGCAATGATGCAAAACATTCAATACTATTAAAGAGCGAAATTGAAATAGCATTCATATATATACAGACATGGCCACAACGTCAATGCATGTGCTTATATAGGGACTTAAAAAATTATGAACGTTTTAATCTCATACTGCAGTCTATGATATTTCTATCAGTACATCATCTTAAACATATATCAAGACTCATCGAAGATTACAAACGTTTAACAGCAAGTGCAGCTCAAGCTGTGGCGCAAGCACAAAAAAATGCTGCGGCAGACAATGCAGCATCATCATCATCGTCCAAAACTGTTTCCAAAGAAACAGAGGCCACAACTAAATCGGATGAAAAGCCAAAAGAATGTAAAGATAATGAGAAAGCTCAAACAGTTTCAACAGCGAAATCCCTCTCCCCGCCAATACAACACTCTACCCAACATACAGAGGAACCATGGATATTACCTGAAGTTGAAAAACTATTTATATTAGTATCCAAAATATTTCTGCTCAACTTTCCACTTTATATTGCATACAAGCACGGTACCCATGCACGTCTTGATGATATTTCTGCCGAAGAGGCTCAACATTTGGCTTTATTTTGTGATTTACATGATAACGAAATTCCTGTTTATTTACTACGAAATATTTGTCTTTTTTGCAATTCTGGAGGATTTGCAGCTATGATGATGTGTTTCGAGCATCCAGAGTTATCAGTTAGTACGGCGCATGCTATAACGGCAACTGTTTCCAATATTAAATTATGGTTGAATTACGGTTGCATAGTGCAGTTATTTGTACCTTTACGAAGTAGGGTTCTACAGTACATGTGCAAATTATCCGATCAAAATTTGCGTTTGGCAGCAGCTCGTGCCATGGCTGACTTTGTTTGGTCAGCTGTACGCGACCCTTTAGATAGCGCTGTAAGTTTTGATATTGAGAGCTTGGCTCTTGCATTCAAATATTTTACATCAACAACTTTAACAATGCGTCTTACAGGTATTTTAAAAGTTATTTTAAAGAAACTATTTTAAATATATATAATATTATTGTATTTTTCTTTTTAACAGGTATGGCGCAAATAAATGCACATGTAAATTTGTTTAATGAAATATGTACGACGGAAACTGTGGGTGAGGTAGAAATTGTGGGACAAAAAATTGCAAATTGGTTAACAGAAAATCATATTATACAACATCTTTTTGGTCCAAATTTGCACGTAGAAGTTATAAAACAAGCTCACACCGTATTAAATTTTCTTGCCGTTGAAAATCAAATAACTGATGAACATATAAAATTAATTTGGCAAGCTACACAATTGAAACATTGTTCAAAAACCATCTTTGACATACTGCCATCGTTAGTTAAGAATTTAGCACCTCGACCAGCCATGCATCTATACTCTCTGTTGTGTCGCATGGACCCTAAAGATCATACTGAACAAAGTATTTATATAGCCTCAGCTTTAACAAAATTAATATGGTCCAGAGATAATTCACGTGCTCAAATGAATTTAATGCAAGAGCATTTATTAGCTAACGTAACAGCATCTAGTTCAGATAGTGGTAGCATGGATGGGAGTAATTCAGATGATGATCCAGCTAACGGTGACGATAGTAGTGTAGCAAGTGGTCGAAAGAGTCCAATAGATATTGAACATGTTGGTTCTGATACCGGTGTCACACCTAGCAAGCAAGCCCGCCGAAGACATCACGTGTGCGATCCTACAGAAGGTAAGAAATGAATAAAGTTTTTTTATTATTTTTACTAAATTAACTTTTATAGAAAAAAATAAACATATTACAGAGGAGGAAATGGCGATTATAAATTCAAAAGTTGATTTAAAGTACGTAATAGCAATAATTTGTAATTAGTATTTAATAAAATATTTATATAAACTTTGATATTATTTAGAATGCAAAATCATCGTATGGTAAATATAATTGATAACTCCAGTAGTGAAGACGAAATGCCTCAAAGCAACTTGAATATGACACTTCATAGAAAAAAATCACGTAAACGTCGAAAAGGTAATATGCCTATGACACGTATTGCACATGAAATTGTTGAGGCTATTTGGGATAATGGTGAAGATGAAGCATCTAGTGACGAAGGGGAAGATGTTGATGGTGAAATTTTAAACGATAGCGATGATTGCAGTGAGACAGGACAAGTAATGCCTAGTGCTGTATTAAAACATTTACAAGGTGAAGGACCCTATATTCGTGCGATAGCTGAGACACATATTAGCGAATTACTTAGTGGTGCGGAAAATGATGGAAGTTATTCTTCGCCAATGAGCAATAAATCCGATAAGAATTTGGCTGATTTTGATGATGAAGATGTATCACCTTGCGAAGAAGAATTAGTTCAGCTAGTGAGAACACATGCTACCCATGCTTCACATGCGGCACACAATTGTGTTTCACCCGCATTTGCTGCTGCTGCTGCAGCAATGGCTGCAGCTCACTCTGCTATGGTTCTGCAAAAAACTGATCCAAATGTAGCCGTTGCAGCAGCTGCGGTTGCTGCAGCAGCTGTCGCCACCGGCAACGCACAAAAATCGTTGGAAGCAATGAGACAGCAACAAGTCACACTTGCAAATGTAGCAGCTAAAGTAGCGTGTGCGAAACATGATAATGATATGGATGTTGATAGACATAAGGATATGCAGAAGCCATCAACTAGTAGCGGGATAACGTTACAGTTCGGTCAACCGACATTCAAAATAAATGATGTGTGTCAGCCAGGCAACACTCTTCTATGGGACTTATTGCAGGATGATAAAATTGTGAGTAAAAAAACATTGTAATAGTACATTATAGTTATAATATAATATATATTTTATTAGTTTCAATTAGGAGAGACGCTAGCTCTTGAAGCTGAAAAAGCATTGGCTACATTACTTTGCTTTAGTGTTGATCGGTTGTTGCGCACCAAATTTATTGAAGGTTGTTTACAAAATTTGGCTAATAATCGAAGTGTGATTGTTAGTTTACGTTTGTTACCGAAATTGTTTAATTCATTTCGACCATCTGATACGCATCCGGTGACTATGTGGGCCGAACGTCAGCATGGCATGATGTACCATTTCTTCAATAATATTAAATTTTATGCCAAACAACATGCCGAACAATTATCTAAAAGCAACGAACAACAAACGGACACTCCAATGTATACGCACAAAACGCAAGTTTCTGTACGTTTAAATTTCCTGTCTTCCATATTTTCAACTGTTGGATCACCTAAAACATTTCGGTACTAATGATTTATTTGTGCAAATTACTAATAATTAATTATAACAATTATATACTCTTTTAGTTTAAGTCTTGATCAAGTTGATTCCCTTTGGGAATGGTTGGCACATGATCCTGAATGTGGTGACTGTTTCTTTTCTTGGGTCCAAAGTCAATCTAAAGGTGGTGATCAACATGCGTTAGGTGTAGAAGCGTTGCAGCATTTGTACTTAAACAAATTGCCAGAATTACGTCCAGAAAATTTTTCTATGGTAGCTTTAAGTCTCTTTCAACAACTTTGCAGTTTGGCGCGTATGGCAATTGCACATTATGAGAAGCAAATTGATAGCATTACAGCAGCATCTTCAAATGTTGTAGGCATGTTTCACTTATGGAAAATTGCTTTACGAGCACATAATTCAGATGTATCTATGGCTGCGATTCAGTACATTAATCTATATTATATGGGACAACAACTGAGACTAGAAAAAGAGTTTGTTTCGCAATGTATGGAACATTTGGTGCAAGCAGCTGGCGCTTTAGAAAAGTAAAGCAAACAAAATTTTTTCTAACAAAAATTAATTTTTAATTTGTTTTATTTATTGTGTTTGTTTAGCAATGAAGATGATAATGCTTTAATGTGCGTTCAACGGGGATTAACATTGCTTAACACCCATCTGGAAACATTTCGTCGCCGATATGCTTTTCATTTGCGTCGCTGGGCAATAGAAGGAAAAAGCATTGGATCACATAGTAATTTGAAGAATGACAATACTGGTACAGCGATTCGTGTTGTTCTGCAACCTGCCGGCATATCTGATAAATCCATACTACATATGCATACTGGCGATTTAATAGCAGATTTAAAAGCAGAAATATCAAAATGGTAAACATTTAGCATGATTACATTCTGTTTGCTTTTATAATACATATTGTTCTCAAAAGGTGGGAAAATTTACAAGGCAACTCAAATTCAGGAGTATCTGCGCCAGTTTTAGGTCTTTTACTTAGCGAAGGTCCGCTTAGAATCATCACACAAGGTCAGGAATTAACATCAGAATATGATGAACGTTCATTATCAGATGCTGGCTTTAAAGACAATCAGGTAATTAAGTAATAAATACATATGTATACGTATTATGTGTTCGTATATAAATTTTTATAAGTGTATGAATATGGATATTTAATGAGTATAAAATGATACAAATTAGAAGTATAATAATAATATGTTATATTTATGGCAGATGTTTTTTGAATAAAATTGAAATTATTATCTCATTTATAAAAATATAATAATTAAAATATTTTATATTAGATTGTTTATGTTTCGCTTGGCGGACGTGGAGCTCGTAGAAAAGAGACGAATTTAGATCATCCTTCTATGCAACCACCACCACCAAAAGATTGTTTACCTACAGTATTATTGTTGCAACCAAAGTATCTGGAAAAATTATTTTGTTTAATGCAAACATTAGGAGATATGAAACCGCAATCTAATGTTATTCATATTTACACAAAGGCGCAATTTCTGTCACGTAAAGTATGGGATATTTTGGCAATATTGCCAACAAATCCGATAGTTCTTGATATTCTAAAAAGCTTTAGAATAGACTTTAATAATTGCGACACTCAGCAGTCGGAACAGGAGCAAACTACCAAGCGGAAAGCTATAAAGGAAAAACTATGCGACCTATTCGATCCAAGCAATTTGCAAAAATTTATGTACACATTGCATATCGTAGAAAATTTAATTCTTAACAATGGTTTTCAAAATAGGAATAGTCTCTCGTGTTGTAATATCAATGGTAACATATTGCAAACTGAAACGGTTTCACGCGGATCCAAAAATAATAATATATCAAAAAAAATTGCCAATAGACGACGTAATAGTAATGAGGGAGTAGGCATTATGGAAGATAGCAAACGAACTAATTCGTCCACAGATACTCAAGCACAGAAAGATTCGCCGGATACAGTGATACAAAAGGATATTGCAGCTAGTTCTACAACAGAAAATGATTCAAATGAAACAAATGCTGATGCACGAAATAATGATAAAGAGAACAATCCAGTAAAACAAATTAAACGTCAAAAAAAGTGTGATTGTAGCCATTCACATGAGGAGCAGAAAGAAAATGAAAAAGAGAGACAAGTATTAATTGGAAATGATTCGTCATCGAGTGTTCATCAAGAATCTAAGTGGAGTGAAGTATTCATAAAATGTGGAGGTCTTAAACATTTATATGATATTCTAATAACAGGGCAACTACAAAAAAGTGCTTATCCAAAAGAAATATTAAATGAATGGCGCCATGATTGCTTGGCAAGCTTGCTACGCATAATATGGTTACTTGGATTCGAAGAAATACAAGCCGACGATATGCATGTAACTATATCCCGTCCATTACCATTCATGTTGGAACTTTTAGAAGAAAGTCCATGCTTGCGAAGGCTAGCAACAATACTGAATGATGAAGCTTATCAGAACTATATAGCCACATCGTTGCCATTTCACTATCATAACTTACGAACTGGCTTTTATAGTCGAGCGCATGTAGTGCAATATACGATGAATATTATGGTAAGTTTTGTGCATGCTTCTGCAGAGGCTAGACGTACTCTATGGGCGCAACAGGACTACTGTAATTGGGTACTGAAATTTATACTTGAAGATCCAGATCCAATGGTACGGCGTGAAATATGTGCAGGGCTCTATCGTATTTGTTTAGGAAATGCACAAAGCTATCAGGTATTATTGGCCCCACTACTACGTAAACTAATTTCCTTTTTGCCAGCAGCTGAGAAAATGACTACTTATGCTCAGCATGCGCAGTTTTTACTTTGCGATGAAGGCAAAGAACCTTATGGACCAGCTTGTCGTGATTACTTTTGGCTATTGGCACGCCTAGTAGATACATTAACGCCAGAAATAATAAAGTCATCATTGGATGATGTGCAAGCTGATGAGGAAGCCATTGATATTGAACGGCTCTGTGTGTCAGTATCACAAAGCATACTTACTCGTGATTATCATGAGACACGATACGGTTTTCAGGATGATGGTTTAGTGGGTCTCATTAATCTAATGTCGAATTTAGTTAAATACGATTCTACATTTAAGTTCAGTTTAAATGCTTTACAATTTATAGATAAAGTGTTTGAATTTCTTTTTGAAATGCCCTCGCCAACCAACAGACAGAAGCCTAAGTGTAAATCAACAACATCACGAGCTGCTGCTTATGACCTTCTAGTGGAAATGTGTAAAAATTGCCCCAAAAGTTATACATACTTACATGCAAAACTGCTGGCACAGAATACGCCTGGTCCAAAACCTCCATATCCTTGGGACTATTGGCCACGAGACGAAGGTCGGGCGGAATGTGGCTATGTTGGATTGACAAATTTAGGTGCTACATGTTATATGGCGTCCTGCATACAACATTTGTACATGATGCCTCAGGCGCGTATGGCGGTATTATGCGTTCCTCCATCTAGTGCGCTTAAACATGGTCCTACCTTATTGGAGTTACAACGAATGTTCGCATATTTACTTGAGTCGGAACGAAAAGCTTATAACCCCCGTTCATTTTGCCGTGCATATCAAATGGATCACCAACCACTGAATACTGGCGAACAAAAAGATATGGCTGAATTTTTTATCGATTTAGTTTCAAAACTTGAAGAAATGACACCAGAACTTAAAGACTTAGTAAAACGTTTGTTTTGCGGGACACTGAGTAATAATGTTGTTTCTCTAGATTGCGGCCATGTATCACGTACAGCCGAAGAGTTCTATACTGTACGTTGTCAAGTAGCTGATATGAGAAATTTGCAGGAGTCCCTTGACGAGGTCACCGTAAAAGATACGCTCGAAGGTGATAACATGTACACTTGTTCACAATGTGGCAAGAAAGTGCGAGCCGAAAAACGGGCTTGCTTTAAAAAACTACCCCAAATACTCTGCTTCAATACAATGCGCTATACGTTCAATATGATTACAATGTTGAAGGAAAAAGTAAACACACATTTTTCATTTCCAATGCATCTCAATATGTCCGATTATGTTGAAAAAACTTTAATGCCGCATCAATACAAAGGCAAGTAAAAATATTTGAAAATAAATAGCTATTGAAGAATAATAGAAATATAACCAATTTTTTGTTATTCCATTTAAATAATATAGAGGATCGTGAGAAACGCAAGAAAAAAATAGAATCCAATAATCAAAATGAAAATAGTGAAGACAATGCTGAAGCTGATGGTGATGACATCGAGGAATGCTTAGAGTAAGTATAAAAACAATATTTATAAGTTTGTTATAGATCGTTGAGATAGAACGTTAAATGTATTTTGTTTCTTAAATAATTTTTCCAAGTCAAGTTTGTTTACGGTCTAAAAAAAATTGGTTTTGTTTCATAGATATGAGCTAGTAGGCGTCACTGTACATACAGGGACTGCTGATGGCGGCCATTATTACAGTTTTATTAAAGAAAGAAACTTGTCGGCTTTACAACTTGATCGTTGGTTTTTATTCAATGATGCTGAAGTTAAGCCCTTCGATCCATCGCAAATTGCGGCTGAATGTTTTGGTGGAGAAATGACTGTAAGTTGACAATTTTAAATGTAAAGAAATGACCTGATTAATTATCTTATTGAATATTGTTTACAGAGTAAAACTTATGATTCCGTAACAGAAAAGTATTTGGATTTTAGTTTTGAAAAAACAAATTCGGCTTATATGCTTTTCTATGAAAGGCGTTTACCAAAACACTTAAAAGATCGTCAAGCCGAGCTTCTTACACCACCTTTCTTGCGTTTACCGCCTTTTTTGGATAGCAAAGAGACAACGGTGGAAATAAAAACTAATGAAATAGAAAATGTTGAGGAAATGACAGTAAATGTCAACAAAAGTAGTGAGTCTAAATTAAATGAAACGGACATAAATAGCAAAAATAGTAGCAGCAATAATAACAACGACAGTAGTAGTAAACCTTCAAGTACAGTTGATTTAAACTCTTCACAAAAACAAGTAAAAACAGTTGCTGAATGTGCACAGCAAAATTCAGAACCACAGGCATCGACATCTGCGGCAGCTGTCGCAGCTGCAGCTATTAAATTAGAGAAAACAATACGAAACTTGCCAGTGCTGAATAAAGAATTAGAAGACTGGATTTGGGAAGACAATAAACAATTTTTACAAGATCGTAATATATTTGAGCATACGTATTTCAAGTAAGTTCGATACATTTTTAAAGGGTTACGTCCACGTCTACGTCTACGTCTACGTCTACGTCCCTTTAATGTTTTATGTGCTTCAATATTCCCATATTCTTACTTATAGCTTTATGTGGCAAATATGTGGGCACATACCGCAAACGCTACTAATACAAACTGATGTCACTTGCATGGCTGCTAAGCTCTCAGTGTCGTTTTTTATTGAAACGTATATACATGCGAAAGAAAAGGTATATATATTACACAATTAGTTTATAAAATTTTTAAATTTTTAAAATTTTTTTGTTTATAGCCCACAATGGTCTCATGGGTAGAATTATTAACAAAGCAATTTAATGCAAGTCAAGAAGCTTGTGAATGGTTTTTAACACATATGTCCATTGAGCCATGGTGGCCAATACAGGTGCTCATACAGTGTCCTAATCAAATGGTGCGTTCAATGTTTCAGAGGCTGGTTATACACGTAATACAGAGACTTAGGTAAATATGCTCATATAAATGAAATAATAAAATAAAATGAAATAAATTGTCTTTCTCTATATGTTTATAAGATCTTCTCATGCTCATTTATATTTAAGTACTAAGACTGATGATGAAGGAAAAGAGTTAATGGGAAATGCTTCATGCGTGACGCGTTTTATAAGTTCATTGATTTTGCTAATGGAACATGGTGCTAAGGCGCATTTAAGAAATCTGTCCGAATTCTTTTGTTTACTTTTTGAATTTTCACGTATGGGCGAGGAAGAAACTTTTTTTATGTTACACATTGGTGTAATTAAAAGTGTTGCAGATTTCTATTTGGGCAATAAATCACAGGAAAACGTAAGTTATCAAAGTATATCAATATTGAAAGACAGTAGGTTTATTCGTGTACTTTCCAAATAAACATCAGAGACCAAAAAAAAATTAAAAACAAATTATTGACTGTCTGGGAAAATAATATGCTGTAAAAGTTGAAAATTAAGTTGAAATAAGAAATGATTATGTCGATTGTTCAGCTCAAATATTCCTGTTTAAAAAAATACATATGTAGACAAAGGTTTTGGATGCAAAATACTAGGGTTATTCACGAGTTCGAGTAACGCGCTTGGTAACCGAGTAACGTATTTAAAGTGCAACGCAGCAACAACAAAATACATGTCTAGTGATGCGTTGCAATGTTACTACGTTAGTCAAGCATTTGGTTTGACTAACATTACTGATTTTATCATAATCTTACTTGAGCATTAATGTAGTTAAATGCAAATAAATATTAAGTTAAATTTATTTCAATATGTTAGATAAGTAGAAGTTAAGTAGTTCCATTCTTCAAAAAATTGGTTCCAAGCATCTCCTGGTGCTACAAATTTTAGAAGACGTGCTTTTTATCACTTCCGTCGGGGCAACAACAACAATAACAACTCTATGAAATAAAATTTCGAACTCATAAATTTCTTGTAACCATTTAGAAAACCAGTTCACTAAAATAAATTCTAGAATAGAATTCTTACCGCTATTGTAAACATAGTTTGTAATTTACAACGTTGTATGATAAATTCAATTACTTTTCTTGGTTTGACTAATTTAATTCATTTCAGTATATTTTGATTATGTGAAATTTTTCTTAATGTTATGTTTTAATGTTTCTTTAGATTGATGTTGGTTCTGATAATGATGATAATTCTTCAGATGAAGCGCTTTCCGTAGATAAGACACGCCCGGCATCATTAGATAAAATGATTGCTTTAGTTGCTAATTTGGTTGAACGTTCACGTGGACAAGATTTACGTTTGAAGCTACTACCAAGAGACTTCAATGCAATAGCAGGTGGCAAGGTAAACGGAATTGCAAAATAAACGTGGTTAACGACATTAATTTTTATAATAATTTATATTTGAAGGGTTTTCCATTTTTGTATCAGCAAATTAAGGATAATATTAATCCACATCAAACAAAGCATTTAATACATGCACTTTGCCGGTGGGATGAACGTTTGGCAAATCAAATAATATCAATGTTGTTTGCATCGGTAACGAAGCATACGGAACTTTGCGGTCCATTCTTTAAATTACTCACATTGCTTACTGAAACGCAAGGTGGACCATCCGGATTACCTTGCTTTTCACAATTAGTGCTGCAGAGGGTTTGGGATGCTGCTGAGTACTGTCCACAGTCAGCGCTTGATTGGTTAGCGTTTCAGGCACCTAAAAATAAAATAGCACATGCTTGGATACTACAGTCGGCAGAAAATTGGATGGAACAATTTTTGTTGGCTCATAACAACTCTAGAGTAAGAAATGGTAGGAACTTTTATTATTAAAGCAATGCAATAAATATTATAAAATCCCTTAAATATATTTGTAAAATTTACAGCTGCTGCATATCTGTTAGTTTCTTTGGTGCCGTCTCAACAGTTTAGAGCGAATTTCCGTACATTTTCATTACACAAATTATCTGCGTTAGCAAATCATGTCTCACGGTAAATTTAGTGAATTCTCAATAATTAATATTGTCTTTAAAAAATTTTAATTATTCTATTCCAGTGAATTAAGTAGTGATGCTCAAATAATTTTACATAACATCATAAACCATTTACTGCGCTTACTACGTCCTGCACGTGCCTTTGCTGATATCAGTACACATGGTTCTTCGAAATTGACTGCTTATTTCAGCTTGTTGAGTTATTGTATGATTTCAAAGACTGAAAAATTAATGGTAAACAACAAAAAACACAAAACTTTTGCACTCTCGCAATTAATTAATTTGATTTGACAGATTGGACCGTACATGCGAGCTCTATGGGACCTATTTCATCCTCGATTGTCGGAGCCCAGTGTACCAGCTCATCAAAATAAGCATGCTCTTTTGGCATTTTGGCACCATTCTCTTGTCGATTGTCCAGAAAATGCATTGCTGATTGCAAACTGCCATGAAATAACTCGAAATATTGCATTTAATTACATTTTGTAAGTTATATCAAAATATGAAATAATACGAATATATTTCAAATACTTAATATTTTCAGAGCTGATCATGATGATTCTGAGATAGTTGCATATAATAGGTCAATGCTGCCCGCCTATTACGGCCTATTACGTTTATGCTGTGAGCAAAGTAGACAGTTGACACGCCAACTTGCTTCCCATCAAAATTTACAATGGGCATTTAAAAATATTACACCGCATCCCACGCAATATGCAGCAGCTGTAGATGAGTTATTTAAGTTAATGAATTTATTTGCAACTCGGCATCCAGATGCTAGTGATCAAGAAAAAATTGATGTAAATTCATTCCGACGTACAACACTAACAGCTTACCTGACGGGTTTAGATGCTCGGGTGTCTTGGGGGACCCTTATAAATGCTTTAAGAATATTAGGTAGTTATTTTTGTATATATAGGCGTTATTCAATAATTTATATCGATATTAATTTATACAGGGTGTTATCTCGCCAAATGGCGAATGCGAATATATGGATTTATATCAAATAGTTTGAATATTGTGCAAAAATGCGAATAGTTTGAGCTATCCAAATATTAGAAATTCTTTACGTCATATGGCTTATTAAGGTCGATTTCAAAGTTGAATAAGTTATAATTCTCATTTGATTTGATTTTCAATTTTAAAACACTTTACCTATTTTTTTGTGCAATGTAATAATACTTGTAATTATATTTGATTGATATATGATCTCAATTTATAAAATAAAATATTAGTAAATTTCAAGTTTGTTATATTAAGCATAAATTGTCAAAGAAGTTTATTTTTATATTACAACAAAACATTTACATTAAATAATATATATGAAAATATATAATATAAAATGTTTATTATTTAATTTATATGATGACATCTACTACAAATAGTAGAAATAATTAAATAACTAGAAAACAAGAATCACTCAAGCTATTTTAAAAAAGTGAGCATAAATCGATAAACAAAACTTATTGACAAAACATCGCTTATAAAGCGATGTAAAAACAAACTATATGAGAATTATAACATTCAATTTGAAAAATTTATGACACAGAATTGCGAATATTTGGATTTTTCAGTATTTGAACTTTTTGATGCAAAATACATATCCTAATAGATTATTCATACAATTTTAAGACTAATTAATATATATTTATTTTATTCTTTTAACGTTTCCAGTTTCGTTAATTTTAATAATTAATTTTGTGCTTCTTCATGAATTGCAGCTAACTTCACACAATCATTTGATTTTTTTAAATCGGTTAAATTTTTTAATGCATTTTGATATGAGGGTTAAAATCGCTTTGTCAGCAAATGCTATTAATCTTAAAATGTGTGAATAATTTTTATCATTTGCTTTTTATATATCAGTGTTTTTTTATTTTTCGAATATTTTTTCCTATTATGCATCGTTTTTCTACAATCGTCTTCTGAACTTTTCTTTACGACAAGTTGATAAGTTACCTTTAAAATTTTCGATAATGTTATTTTTTGTTAACTAATATCTTAGGTTAAAAATTAAACTTGGAAAAATCTTAGGTATAAAAATGAAATGTCATACGATACTTTTTGTTTTAATGCAGACAAAAATATCGCCTGCGTTTAGGCATTTGGTGAGAGTGTATGAGTTTCCAATGTTTAATTCGAAATTTGAATTTTACAATTAAAATGAATAATATATTTTTTATTTATAGTTGATAACGATGATGATCGTTTGCTTGTAATATATAATGGTGGAATAGAAATGTGCTTTGAAGCTCTACATACTTTACATTCCATGCATCACGAAGCAACAGCTTGTCATGTTGCTGGCGATCTGCAAGATTTATTAGGTGAACTCGTTTTGCTTCTGACAACACTACGCATTAATTCCCGACTTGATTGTTCAGCAACGAAAAAGCAACAACAACAGCAACTTGAACAACAAGCACAACAACTACAACAGCAACATCAGCAGTTATTACAAAAACAACAAGAGCAACTAAAACAGCAACAGGCCCAAGGTCCACCTCAAACACAACAACAAAAAGAGAAGCAATTACAACAACAAATGCAGCAACATATACAACTGCAACAAATGCAACAACAATTACAACAGCAACATTTTTTACGTCAACAGCATCAGCAAACAAACATGCTTAAGGGTCTACCAGACGCTGTTAAACGTTTAGCCACCTTTTTAAATACATTTAACCCACCAGAAATATGTCGTCTAACACTCGATGTACTAAAAGAACTTGTTCGCAATCCAAATCTTGATGTTATCAATCTCTTAACACCGATACTTGTAAATTGCCATCTCTCTGTTGCAAATACTAATACTGTTGGGCCGTTAGGTCCATTCTTTCCACGTCGTGGTTCCAAAGCAGCTTGGTCCACAATTGCAAAGAATATGCCTAGACCACCAAGACCGATGGTTCAAATGAGTATACCACAAAGTGAAGTACTACAAAAAGGCATAGACGATGAATATGACATGCAATTGGAAGCCTATTATCGTCCATATCATGATTTTATAGATGTTTTAATGCGAATGGCTGTAAATAACAATCAGTTAAATGAGACGTTGGTAAAACTTAGTTGTCTTGTTGCTATTGAAGCTGCTTCGCTGCATTTTAATCTATTTACAAAATTTTGGGTGGGCATCAATAACAATAAGAGCACGCATAAGTAAGTTCCTCGATTCAAAAAAAAAAAAAAATAACATTATTCTAACAATTAAATGTTTCTATTAGATATACTGAGCTATTAATAAACTGTTCCTACTTAGTTGAGTATATTCATATTATACTACGCGATGAACGGGTGTCATTGAACGATATCAGCATTAAAAATTTTATGGAAATATATTGTCCGAAGGTAACTATTTTATAACAGTTAAAAGGAACTTTATTATTTATAAGATGCTGTATTTCTTTCTCTCTGTATTTCTGTATTTCTTTGTGTAGATATCAGCTCATTTGCCTATAGCTCGCTTACTATATACTATTAGTTACGCGATGCACTCAAAAGACGAACTGAAGGATATATATGGCGACTTGTTTGCAATACGAGTAATAGCACAAAGTACTGGCATACCAACAACGGTACGCAAGCAGTTGAGAGGTTCACTTAAAGCTTTGTTGTCTAAACGCCAATCGAATCAAGATTTTAAGGATATTGGTAAGTTTAGTGAAAATTTTGAAACGTATTCTAATCCATTTATAAATGCATTTGTATAATTCTGTGTTTTATATTAAAACTTAAATGAAATAATTAATTAATTTATAAAAAATCAGTCCCTTAAATTAATTGTTAAAGTGTAGGAATGTAATGAAATATATGTGAAAAAATTTTATGTAAATTTTACAAACAAGCTTATATGTGTTATTATTAAGCACCTAGTCATTTGCTAATTTATAAATTATTGGTCTTTAAATGAACATTTTAATCACAACTTATTGCTCATTAAGGTTTTGAATACTGGCAATACTATCTCTTTAAATGAACGAAATGAAAATTGAAATGATGTTCTTTTTAATACTATGTTAAGACAGCCAAATTTCCTTAATTTCTTTAAATTAAGAAAATCATGTATTTTTTGTTTACAAATCAAATGTTAAAAATTATATGCTCCAAACACGATTTGTATCTGGGAAATTTTAAAAGCTAATTATTATAACTATAAAGGATAGCATTCAGTAGTTTTATTAGGTTTTGAGAATTTTAGGTATGTGAATTATTATTTTTCACTCTATTAAAAATTAATAACTGTTACAGTTTTTCCCTATATTCAAATTTAAAAATTTGAAAAGCTAATTATTATAACTATAAAGGATAGCATTCAGTAGTTTTATTAGGTTTTGAGAATTTTAGGTATGTGAATTATTATTTTTCACTCTATTAAAAATTAATAACTGTTACAGTTTTTCCCTATATTCAAATTTAAAAATTTGCACTGCTTTCAAAATATTTCCCGGTTTTATTAAAATCAACTGTCATTGACATTTATTTAAAAAAATTTCACTTTTTCGTTATCTCAACTTTATCTTTTGCTTAAAATTTATTTCACGCATAGTTGCATTTGAAATGTCCTTAATTTCAGCCTTAGTTTCAACGAAATTAAAGTAATTTTACTTAATTACGTTCTAATCTTAAAACTGAATTTTGTATGGAAAAAAAAACTTAATTTCGCTGAAACGAAGATGAAATTAAGATTTTTGTGAAATTAAGGTATGTCGTTTGTTTTCTTGCTAATAATTCTTGCATTTATAGTTTGTTGATTTTTTTTATTATTTTTAAAAATAAGTATGATGGTTTTTATGATTTTTATGGTTGTTTAGATTAGTGTTGAAGTTTTTTGTTGAAAAATTACCATCAATATATTTAATTTCTATTGTTCGTTAACACAAATCAAACTATTTGATGAAAATACGAATATTCCTATTCGGCGAATAATTCGTATGTTGAATAACTTTACGTGGTCAAAGCAAAATATATTATTTTTTTTTTATTAAGAAATATTTGTTTAAATGTTTCTTTAAAAATTAATTTTTTTTCTTTTATTGCTTATAGAAAATCTACCAAATAAAAAACCAAAATTGGAATCCGAATCGGAAACCGAATCCAAGAATAACAATGAGGATTCGGAACTGCCACAAAAAGCAAAACACAATGATGATGATATTGAAATTTCCGGTAGCGAAGAAAAGCAACCGGAAAGTAAGGAAGAAGAAAAAAACAAGGATGCAAATTTGAAAGAAACAAAATCTGACATAAATATTGATAAAAAGCAACCAACTACTAATACAACAAACACCAATTGCAGTACGAATGCGAATGCATTTGCAAATACATGTTCAAAAGCAAGTGCAAATAGTGATGAATCACCCACAGCAAAAGCGTCTACTGCAGAGGAATCTAATGATGATAGCGTCGCTTCAAGCAGTAGTACTGGTACTGTTAAAAATATAAACAAAAAGACAGCAGAAGATCGATTAAGAGAAGAACAAGAGAAGCGACTTAAAATTATGTCTTCAATGGAAACGTATATAAAGGGAATATTAGCATTAATGCAGAAAGAAGAAAGCTGCAATTCCCCGAGTCGAGAAATTGAGGAGGACGAGAGATATGATGAATTGGAAAGTTTAGTTGCAACACCGACTAGTGAGGGCGGCGACGATAAACAGGCCGCAGCAAATCCAACCGGAACGACGCAATCAAAGACATTACCCAAAACAAATGTAGCTCAATCTGTACACAAAAGCACCGAATGCTCAAAATCAAAAGCAAAAGAAGGAAATACCAATGTAAATTCTGCTGAGTCATCTTCAACTGTATCCACATCGACTTCAACATCTGAAAGTTCACAAATTTAGTTATCGTTTAATGACTTGTTACAGATTTTGTTTTTCGGCAAAACTTTTTATAGTAACAGTCATACTTAGATTCTCTCATTTTTGGCAAAACCTTCTATATTTACTTATATACTTATATACTTATTTTAGTAAGATGAATTAACATATTTTTTAAATTTTATAGTAATACTTTTTTACCTAATTTAGACGATTATATTTATATATTTTTAAACACTAACACTTAAATTAATAAGTAGTTTAATCTGACTTAACTAGGAGATAATGGATGTAAGTCCTTTTTTAGTTTCTTTAGTTGTTGGACATGATGATCTTGTATATGATGTCGATTAGAGAACTTTTGGACCTCTATGGTTGTTAGAATTTTCTTTGTTAAAACTTTTTTTTTTATCACTCCTTTAATGTTATCAGGTTTTAATTTCATGATGATCTTGTATATGATGTCGATTAGAGAACTTTTGGAGATTATTGAACCTCTATGGTTGTAAGAATTTTTTTTTTTCTGTCATCACTTCTTTAATGTCATCAGATTTTAATTTCTTATAACTCTTGGAACTCGTAGAAAATAATGTTTGTATATGGTTTTTTATACGTGAATTTCTGGCCCAAGGTCAAGAGTATAACAACCCAAGGTTGGACAGTATAGAAACGAATTCAAACAAATTTTAACATATTTTTGATTTCATTTTAATTAACACAAAGCAAATAAAAAAAATCTAAATATAACTAATAATAATATATTAAGTGAAAAATTGAAAATTGATTATTTTATTTGCTGCATAAAAAATCGTAAAAAAATGACTTCTTTAGATAAAAAATTTATATAAGAAATTGTAAGGAACGAATTACTATAAAAATTTCATTATTAACATAAATTAAAAGATTTACACATTTCGTTATAGTTTTAAAAACATTTTATTTTGTAAAAATTTAATGGCATGCAAGAAGCTATATGAATTGTAAATTTAGTTATTTTATATTTATAATAAAAAATAAATAAATAATAAAATTAATAATTCAAATAAAATATTTTCTAAAGTTAAAACATTTTAAAATAAATTATTTTAAAATTTTCATTTTATTAATAAATATTTTTTTGATAATTCTTTTGATACTTGTAAGCTTACCTATGAGTAAGCATGTAACTTAAAATTTTAGAAAGAAACTAGTATAAACTAAATGGAAAAAAATATAGCTAATATGGAAAATTCACGAATTCTGTAATATTTAAGCGTATTTAATTTAATATAAAAAATCATAAAATTTTAATTATTGCTTATACACAGCAAATATTTAAAATTAAAAAGTTATTAAGTACATTAAACAAACATTTTATATTATAATTTTTTGAAATTTATAACTTAAGATTAAATATAATATAAACTTAAAAATTTTGAAGCAAATACTTGATGCGTAACAATTATAAAATTATTTATTTTAATAAATGTAATTGTGTCAAATCATTAAATTTAATCTTTGTCTATGAATAATTATTGTGTGATGGCATTTTTAACAAAATTTTTCCACCAAAAATTAGTGTGAGAAGTTAAATGTTAGACGATTAGTTGTTGTATTTTTTGGTTCAATTTGAAGAGTTTAGATATCATTAAATTGTAAGAAACAAATGAAAGAGCAATTAGAATTGATTATGTTATATGTATTATTTTAATAGAGCAAAAAGGAGAAATGCATGTTTCATTGAGAATGTGTATATTAATATTGAATAGTGCATTTAACGTTAAATAACTACTGTATTTGTTTTATTAAGTAGGGTACGTTAGATTTCTATGACAAAGACTGTAGTTGATCAACTCAAATCTAAGGAACTTATTGTGATACCATTACATGACGTACGCCCTTGTTATCATTTATTAATTATGATATTATTTAGAGACTCTAATAAGTCGTCAAAAATCAATATGGATTTAGGCCCGGCCAGTCATGTGTTGACCTTATAAATAAAATACACATTATATTGGAAAAATGTAATGAGTTTCGTACAGCTTTATATAAACTGTTTATTGATTTCAAAACGGCGTTCGGCAGCATTAACAGAAATTATGTATAGAGAACTCTATTGCGCAGAGGTCTACCATTGATATGTTAACAATTAATATAGTCAAAGCCATGTGTACAACAATTTTAAATATCGTATTCTGCACAACAGTCTGCTGTCCGAACCATTTAAAGTTCATACTGGAGTGCGACAGGCATGTATTTTGTCGCCAAAATACTTCATCCTTCTGCCTAGATGAAGTTATGTGTGCTACAATGAACGGAAGAGGTGGAATACAGTGGACACCGTTCGTACATCTTGAATATCTCAACACAAAGAAAAATTATGAGCAGTGGGTACTGCTCTACACAATGTCCGGTGCTTAAATTGGGCGAAGAAAACTGAAAATGCCTGCAAAACTTTGTCTATCTGGGGAGTGTACTCACACTCTACAATATTCATTGTAGAGTCATCTTCTAAGCCTTTTTCAAATGTCTTTTTGGTGGACCTTCGGACTCTATTCTCACGATATGACCACATTTAACAGTTTAAGGACTATCGTGTTCAACAACTAAATAAATATATAAAAAGTTTTTTTTTAATCTGTGATTGAAGATAACAATACCCATTTTAATGCTAATCAGCCTCTGGAACTTTTAGGATCACCTTATTGATCTAACAGCATAAATAGTCAGGTCTCTGTTAGAAAAAAGTTTTTCTTGCTCTGAGGTCAAAGATGGCAGAACTGAAAAATATTACAAGATGGTTCTGTGAAACTTGGAATAATTTTTAGAATCTGGTTTGTTTGAAATATTTAGTCTTTCTAAGCTATAAAATATGGAAACAGAAAATAAAATAAAATAGAATAAAATAAAAAGCTGAAATATGGAAACAGAAAAGTTTTTCTCACATATACTTGTTGTTTCTTCCACAACTCTACATCCTAACAAGTTTGGATATGTTGAATTCATAACAAAATGTATAAAATCAATTCTCATTAAGTACATATACATAGTATATGTTACTGTATTCAGTGGTTAGTGCAGCTGAATATTATACTTAGAATATACTTAGAGGTTATATAGTATATAAGAAATCTAATTAAATCTAATTAAAATCATTGTAATCTTTTCTTAAAAACAGAGTAAGTCGATAGAAAAAATATTTATATGATTTATATGACAATTCTCAAACATGCGCAGCAATTTTGGAAGTTGAAAGTAAAAATAAAAATCTGGTCAGTCTCATTCAAAATTTTCAGGAGAAACACGTAAAAATTAAAAATTCCTAAAATGCCCTGCATCGGATGCCAAAACGGTAAATATCTTTAAATTAGATATAGAAGTTGATATTGTAATAAGTTGGTATTGTTATATTAATAGGATGCAAATGCACTGCAACAAAGTGCTCAGAGAGCTGCAAGTGTACTAAAGGACAATGCAATTGCGGTGGTGAAAAGAACGTAGCATCAACCAACGGCACCCAAAAACCATGTTGCGGGTCTAAGAAGTAAGGACAATCGGCTACAGAAATGGAAGGCAAAACTATGTAGGCATAAATTAAATATTGACTGCGCTACAAAATAAATGTCATTTAATTGAAATTTGCATTTGATTTATTTATACGAAATATAAACTTTAATTATTTTAGGCCATATATGTTCACAGATCCAATTATTTCTGGGCTTAGGCAGTAGCATTGTGTAATAAATATTGTGAATTAAATTATACAAAAATATTTGGAACTAATAACTGAAATAGATTTTTAGTATCTTGTTTACCATATGCGTCGGATTTATAGCTGTTAAAATCCAGCATATTGTAGAATTGGCGGATATTGTCCGAAGTCTAAATTGGATTTTTACTGTTGCAACTTTATGAGTATTGTTAAAAAACCTTTGGATTACGCCAACAACATTAACAGTGGCTATTGATATGACAAGAGTCAATAATTTTATTGCTTATTTGAGTAACATTGATTAGTGCATAGCCTCGTTGAACTTCTCAAGAATATATTTTCCAGTACAACACTAACCATCGAGAAAGTAAAAATGCTTGTCTAAATCTGTTCCTTTACAGTTGTTTTATATCTAATCAAATGTTTAAAGGCGCATAAGGGAATTTCTGTTTCTGATATGATAGTGTTGTTCGAAAGAATACTGCAATATCTGTTTAGCTCATCAGTTATATGATATGATAACCCATGATATTAGTGTTGCTGGGAATCCTGCCAGTGTTACTTATTTTATTGTAAAATGAGCAGCGCAACTATACTTCCCTTTATTTGATTTTTATACTTTTGAGTGCTTCGTTAGCATGTTTGCCAGTCCCTTAGCTAGAGATTTACTTCTGAGAGGGTTTCCAGATGAAATGCTGGATCGATTTTACTTTTACTTACCAATCATATTATGTTCAATCTTATTATTAATGATGAATCGACATATGTATACACCTAGTCCTTCCATTTAACTCAGACCGGCATTTCCCTTAACTTCCTGGTATTTATAACATCATTTTGAATTAAAGAAAAAAATTATAATTATGATATTCAGAAAGATCAGATATCAGAAAGAAAAGAGTAAAATTAAAATATTGTTTGGTAATTTATAAATTCTTCAAATATATAGAAAAAACTTCATAAATTAAAAGACTCTCATTTCATAGATATGAAAAGGGAAGCGAAAATAAAATTGTTTTATTTCTTCACTTAATTTTGTGTGTCAAGTCGGTATCTGAGACCAGAGATAACATTCTGTCCGTATGTCAGCCAGTAATGGCGGAAGTTGTATTCAGCAAAGATCGAGTGGCCTTCAAAATCAAGTGAATGATGTAGGAAAGTAACTGAACACACTTTTTATATAATCATTTATATATAAGCCGAAATACACAATTGTTTTGTTATTTTTCTTATTTTATATTAAGTAATTTTTAATTAAATATAATTAATTACTACTTAATTTAGTGATGTGTGTTAAATTAAGTATTGTATATACTCTTTTACCTTTTATCTTTTATTATCGAAATTTACATTTTTTATTTAATGACTGGTTGACACAGATTTGTAAGCAAATTTAAAAAACGATGAACTGCATTCACGAATCCTCAAGAATTTCATTATCATTTAATTTTTTTTTAAATTACAATTTTTTGACTAGAACGGCTGGGTCTACGTCCTGGAGTCATTCGTTCACTTCAACGCCAAGCACTGTCACCACATTCAAAAGGGACTAAACAAGCAGATCCGTGTGGGTTCTAATATACATCTAAAATTAGTAAATAAATTTAAACAAATTATTAAATTTTTCCAATTTATAATTAAATTCAGATCTGTTTATTTGTTTTATTTTTTATATATAAGCAAATTTTGCTTTGCATTTGTTTATGGTTTTTTAAGTTTTCAACTTTAAATTTACCTTAACCAAGAGGATATGTTAAAATAAAAAACAATATTGTATAATAAAGATAATTAATTAATTAATCAACAACAAACAAATAAAAATTTCATTTTAAAGTGTAAAGCAAGAAACAATTTGTGGCACATGCAACAAGTTGCTACATTTTTGTATAAATTTAAATTTAAATTGAAATTTAAATTGAAATAATATAAAATAAATTGATATAATTCTGGTTGGTATTTTATATATCTTAATATAAATATTATATAATTACAATCTTTGTATTCGGTGAATTTCACAAATTTATTTATTATAGCATTAATTATAGTTAATTCTTTACTCCAAACATACTTTTAAAAATTTACTAAATAAAATTACTTAGATAAAATTGATATAAAATACAAATAAATTTTGAAGGTAGCGTCGTTGACGTACGTACGTAAAAGATTGCTTCTAACACAGTGGAATATCATACAGGACACTTTTTTTGATTTATTGGCTTATTGATTTATTGACTAATTTTTTAAGCTAATCTTTTACTTCAATGGATTTTTTTTGGATTTACGCTTCTTGCGGGTCGTGTTAATTTCGCTATTAGTATTATTATGTATTATGTTTGTATCACCAGTTGGATTTGTGCTTGACGATAAAATAGGAGACGTACTTGGTTTTTTAAATGTGACACGATTCCAAATAGTACTTAGTAGACCTATTTTGGCAGCATGTGTTGTTGTAGAATGCAGTTTCTTTTCATTATTATTATTGTTTGTAGCTGCTGGATTTTGATTTTGATTTTCGTTTTGTTGTTGTAGTTGTTGTTGATGCTGCTTTTTATTATATTTAAGTGTTTGTTGATGTTGTGTTTGAGGTGGCAGCGATGACTTGTTGGGATTACTTAATTTCGCTGCTGTTGTCGCGGAAGTTTTGGCGTATTCTCATGATTTTTTAACTTTGCCGTTTTGCATAGGAGACGATGAACGACCACCTACAGCTGCTTCAGCCGCATGCGTTGCCACATGTTGTATACCCTTCTCCATGCAGCCCTGATAAATGGGTTTCATAAACTAAAATAAAATGTATTAAAATAGAGCTGCTAGTTATGGTAATCAGACTCAGAACTTACATTATCCCACATAAACGTCGCAAAGTCATCTAACTTCACACCAATTTCACTTAATTCACCACTATACCTATAATCGCAAATCGAAGGAAAGTATTTAGAGTATACCTGTTTATTATTTATCACTTTATCACTTGATGATCTCTTACCTTATATACGCCCACAGCGCTAATGTGAGCAATGCGACACCCATAATTAGATTGCAGAAATTTGCAAAAGCATATAAGCCAACTAAACCAAATATACCACTTAATATATACATTATAACTGCACAAGCGAAATATACTGCCGGCGTTCTGGCTGCTTTAAATATATTTTTACTTTCATTGTGCGATTTATAATTAGCGTATATATCTTCCAAATCTTGATCTAATTGTATTCGGAATTTTTCAGTAAATTCTTCGCCACCCATTTTTCTTTTAGCAGCGAACTATAACAAAAAATTTTACGATTAATTAATTTTAATGCAAATTTGTATTTATAGAATATTACCTGAAATAGTGCTTTGTCTTTTACACGCAAATGTTCTGCATCTAAGTGTCCTGTGCTTAAGTACGGCCGATTGCCTCCACATACGTCTTCCATCAGTTGATTATAAAGTTCTTTAGCGGCAGCAACTGCTGTTAAATGATTAGCTTCGGCAGTGGCCTATATTAATAAATAAATATTTAACAATAAAAAGTAAAGTACTCTAATATTTTTTTCTTTTTCATAGATTTTAATTAAAGAAAATTATTGGGTCAGTTGTTTAAGGTGCGCTGACTCTGAACTTCAAATTTGGCAGGATACGACTTCGATTCCTGGTACTTGCAGTCTCAAAAAATTATTCACGAATAATTAAATACAAGAATTATTTCAAAGACCACTGATGATGGGTATTTGGCAACATTCGAAAAAGCTGTATAATCAGCCAAAAATTCAATTAATTAAAATAATATAAAAATAAATTTTTGTTGTTGTAGTTCACTACTGTTCGAAAACCTCTTTAGAAAAATATTTAGTAAGTTTAAAATCTAAAAAAAAATTACAAAGACAATACAACTAACCAAATACTGAATACTTCATACCGCTTCTAACAATATGGTCGAATCATTGCTCAGGTGCATAAGTTAGAATAGTTACATGGATAGTTTTCTGAACATGTATATAAGCTGATAGATCGGGTATTCTCAGAACTGTTTAACTACTTGAATATGTATTCAAGTTACCATGAAGTTCAAGTAGTGATGCAGTTTCATGTATTGTCTTTTGGAACTTTATAGGTAATTGTTCTCTAAGGGCACTAGTTAGACCAGTTAAAACTCTAAAAGAATAGATTTTTGTATTATATTCAAACTTTGGGTAGTTCTTTCAACAACAAATGTAAATGTAGTCATTTTAAAAACTTGAATCTTTATAATCTTCTTGTGCAATAACAAGCCAAAGTTGATGTGAGAACGAGGTTTGAAACGGCTAAAGCAAACCTTATTTAACAAGCTCAAAGTTTTAAATCTGGTGCTAGTAGTCCAACAACTCCATATATATGGAGTTATAAAACCAACGAATATTTTTAAAAGAATTCAATTAATTGAAATAAAATTTTATTTCATTCATTATTGTTCAAAAACCTTTCAAAAAATATTTGTATAAAATCAATCGTTGAAATGCATGAAAAAATCTGATTTTGTAACTTACCACTAACATACTCTTCGGTTCGGGTAGCTCATTTCCTTTGTAAATGGACATATATGACTGGAAGTATTGTATTAAATCACGAGCACGCACTCGTTGCCCACTAATTTCTTTATAAACTAAATTATCTGGTGACAAAAGCATAGGTACAAATGATCGTAAGCTTTGTTTAAATTCGGGAGTTATATCTTTGAGACGACCATCAAAATGTGGATTTGTGGCAACGTTAAGACCAGGATGTGGCATTAAAAAGCAAGCAACTTCCATGAAGCATGATGATATATGACGACGTAAGGACTGCAGTTCAGGATGTTGTTTATCTGATACTTCTAAACGACGTTTAAGTATTATATCACCACCAACGGCACCATATTCTGCTTCATATGGAAAGCTCCAATCTCTAACCAGAAATTGTAAACGCTGAAAGGGTTTCTTGCCTGTATCGGCTAACGCTAAACGTCCATACTCTGTAAAAAGTTGCAAATGCTGCAAATCATCCTCTTGTATATTTTGTGACAAATTATATATCTGTACAGACGAAAGCATCGTGCTTAACGCAAAAACAGTGGCACAATCACGTACAGTACTCTGACTGTCGAATGCACCTTGTGTATCAAGCAAGATAATGGCAATTTTATCACCATTCGGATAATCATGCAGGAAAATATCGGACCACATAAGTATACCGGTGGTATCACGTTCTGAACCGCCTCGCCATGAAAAACCTTCCAGCGGGTCATTTTCATCACCTAACCAATCTGTTACATCGTGCCGTACATACTGAAATTTGTGAGGAAGAGATAAATAAATTTTACATATATTTTCTGAGTAAATAAGGGTTCACTTACTTTTGAGTACATATACCGCAGAAAAAAATCTAGTAAGAAACTTTTGCCTTTCCGAAATGCTCCAGCTACTGAAACAACACATACATAACGATCTTTGATCTCATCTTGCATCAGCACTTCACTGAGCGCATCCTCGTTGAGGACGAATGTGTGTTCATCTGATGTATTTATCACTTGCACTGCTGATCCAGTCATATTAATAATATTTATATTTATATATATATATATATATATCTATATATATAAGTGCTTGAACATAAATTTATATAAATCTAATTAAAAAATTATAATTTTTTGTTTGTAGCTGAAATAAGAAAAACGATAGAAGAAATGAAAATTTTGTATTTCATTTTTATATATATAAATATTGTTTATATAATTAAAATAGCAATTGTTAGTAATAATAGCTTTTGAATTTTTTTTTTTTTGTGTTAAAGATTTTATAAATTTGCGTATAGAAGCAGCTTTTTTAATGAGAGGTACAAGGTTAAACAATTGCTGGTGATTGCATGAAAGTATCTGCTCTGATAATACCTTTTTTTCTCCAGAAATTTATCAAAACAATTACTTTTTTTTCGTCAGTTTTATAGAAGGGTAGGTAAAAAAATCTATCTTATGTTTTGTAGTTAAACAAACTAGTATCATATAGTTTTTTGAGCTATACGAAGGCAACCACCGGAAATTGCGAGTTGAGACATATGAAGAGAATAGAGATAGAAAAATTTATAATTACTAATTGAAAACTTTCGATCCATCAAACGAATACTTGTGTATCTATGCATTGACATATACTCGCTTTATTATGCAAGTTCACATACAAGGCTCAGAGCATTTTAGAATGGATGTATAATGGATGCCAATGTTCTATGATTTTCTTTACTTATTAAAGATATAAACTATATAAGAAATGAGTATAATGCTTCCCTGTCAGCATAAAAATTTTATAAATAAATTTCAATTTATTTTATGAGTCGTGTTAAGCATATATGTGGTAATATATTTGCAGAAAAACTGATATTTTTTCTTTTACTCGGACATTGCACAAGTGCTCATTGATGTCATATACACAGAGTACACATCTAAGATTTTAAAGAACTGAGTGTAATTATCAGACATCAGACACAGTTGAATATAAGTGTTTTAGTATCTACAAGAATTTTGCAATTTCAAGAAACTAAAAATAAAAATTCATATTTTACATTTGCCAGTTAGAAAATTGTCAACACGTGTCTGGGCCAAAATTTGTAGACAAAATAAGGTAAAGAATTTAAATAAATATGTATAAAAATTTTGACAAAATTTAAAACGTATTGAAAACTTAACTGTCATTTCTTAATTATCGACAAGACAAACCTTTGTCTATGTTAATAATATATCTCTTCAAGATGCAAAAGCACTGAAGATACCTACAGTAGATAGATATATATGTGCCAGTCGTAGTTGGTATCATGGAAGACGATCGCACTTCGGTCATAAGTGAATAAAATAAAAGAATTTTGAAAATACTGCATTATTTTGCACAATTGCATCGCTTTATTGAAACGGACATTGTCTTAACTGAACAAATTGGAATAGACAATATGGGATAGACATTAAAGAAGAATTGTAAATATAAGAAATTGAAATTCTGAAATTCAAAAATATATTTTCGAGGTTTCAGAGAATATAAAAAAAGAAAATATACCAGGTAAATATACTGTTCCAGTCAAATTTTTTAAATATGTCCTATGGTCTGGACATTAGAAACCTATGATTGAATAAGTGCAAAAAAATTTGGCCCACTTGAATAGTGTGCTTCTAAAACCTAAATCTAGCAAGAGCAATAGATGAACGTGATCTTCCTGGTTGTATGGTTTAAGAATCGGTTTATAACGGCTTGACCTTCATTTTGAATATAGTACTTTATTTATATTTATTTTATATTAGTTAAGATACAATGGCAATATTAGTTATTGAATTTTTATATGAAAACAGGTTGTAATTTTATGTTGTTTTTGTAAAAAAACTAAACGAAAGAGCCAAATGTATAAAATAAAAACAAATTTATTAAATAAAAGTCTGAACATTAGCTGTAACTCCAGTGAAGATTAATGCAGTTAAACGATGGGAGATATATTAAAAGCTGGATTAAAAATTAACAATATACTGGTTGCTAATGTAGTTGGTCACCATGGACATGGCAGATCTTATATGTTTATAGTAATCACAATATCTTTTAAGGTATCGAATTCATATTCTGTGACTTCATTTAAAAGCGATTCACAAATATCTTAGCTGTAGTTTTGTTGTGATTCTGCAATTGATAACATTTTGGAAGGTAAACTTTGTTGTCTTTTATTCAGAAAATATCTATTTCATCAAATATTTTTAAATAAGCAATGTTTTATGTTTACAAAATAAACTTATATATTATGACATATAAAAGGAATGCCACAAAAACCGGATAATATAAGAGATACTCTCTTTTGGCATGATTGAAAGTTTTTACGTTGAAAGAACTTACAATAAGAACTCTATTAGAAAACTCTATAAGTATGTAAGTAACTTATTTCTCGAGGTGTTTTATTGTATTTTAAAAGACAAAATTTATTATTAACTTATTTCACAAGTATATAAAATGATGTCATGTAATTTTTCAATATTTGCAACACAATAACTTTAATTCTTATAAAACGATTGTCACCTTTTTGCATTCTCATTCCTTTGTATTACCGTATGTATTCGTATTCTATATAGATATGTATATACAGATATTTTATTTTATAATTACTTAACTGGTCATTAAACTTAATAGCTTTAATAGCTTTAGTAGCTGACTTAATTTAATTAACTTTTTAGTATTTTTGTATTTTTGTTTACAAATTCACTTATAGAATCGAACGAACACTTTTATTTAAGGAAATTAGCAAACAAATATTTTAGTTAAATAATTTTTAAAGCTCAATGAACGGTCGATGATGATCGCCTTTACTGTAAACTTTATTTATTTGCTTAGTAATTGCGTGATAATGAAATAGATTTTTCGATTAATACCACTGCATTTTGATGACGTCGACATATACGATTAAACACAGAACTGAACTTTGTATATAAAAAACAATAAAAAAAAATAAAAAATAATGTAAAAATAGTTTTTAAATAAATAATATTTTAAGTTCAAATAGTCAACGACAAAATTTTACTTGTGAGGTCACCGTTGCTTCGTTGCTCCGTTGTTCAGTTTCACTTTTAAAACTTAAAAAAATTTTTTTTGGTAAATAAAAATGGAATTTAATTGAATTAATTGCGTCCCAACTGGGACCAAATGCAGCCAAACTACAAACCGACCTCCGCTTCTTAGTCAATGAACAATGAAATTGTATGAACAAATAAAATGTGAGAAAAGTAAGCAAAGCAGTGTCACCGAGTATCGACGACACAATTCCACACACGAACACGCCCGGTGTCTCGCATACACCAAACTTCCACGCAGCAAATCCACACTCAGAGGGGCTCGCATTTGTGAACGACTGTGACTATAGATCATTTCAATATCGGAGAGCAGACAGTAAGCAAGTAAACAAGTAAGCAAGTCAGCAAGTCAGCAGCAGTTTTAGAAATTAAATTCGGTTAATTGGCCCGATCATGGAAGTAAATTAATAGCGCACTTAACTATCTAATGGAAACGTATTAAGAGATCACTTAGGTTGTTTGTTTGTGTATAAAACAGCTTTGATATTATTTTTTTTTTATATTGCAAGTATCTGTATCTAGTAACTTGACATCATCGACATATCTCAACGACTCATTGCTATTAGTTAGAACTTTAGAAATTTCACATTTTTTTTTAGTCTCACGTTTTGATTTCTTGACGCATATACAAATAAATCCGGTTTAATGATCTCACTACTAATATGGAAAGAAAAACAAACATGATGAAGTAAAGAGTGTATGTCATAAGCCCAGTTAAAGCTAATTTCCAGCAAAACTCTTTATACGTTGCGCAGTTTTATTTCTTTAATTCAACATAGCATCAACGTAGATCAAAGATCATACCATCACTGCATATGGTTTAGTACATGTAGTTCTATAGTTAAACTATATGTATATTTTTTAAAACCATATGCATTGTTAAAACCAGTCTTTATTGAACTATAATATCACCATTAGAATATAATAAAACTGTACATTAAAAGTCATTTTATAATTATTCCAAATAGGAGGATTATACATTATCTTCATTATTTCAATTAAAAATGATATATTGCATTGATTAGACTTACAAACATATGATATACTGATATAACAATCTTTATTCTTAACCCAAGAAATTAGGTATCAGTTCTTGCCAAAATGCAGACAGAGTTAGCAATTTATACCTTCAACCCTATTACCTCAGATCGTATACCTAAAAAAGTTACTCTATACGGGATGAATAGAGTACAATATTTTAAATTGAGTCAGGCAAACTTCAGATGGTTGTAGTCTACAACTTCACAATATTTAGTTTCTTTAGTGATTAGAAAGTGGCTGAGTTATAATTTATAAAGTATTTTTAATGGTTTTCTTACTTTTTCGAATATGAATATAATATTTTAAATTATATGATACTCCAGACATGGCACAGCAATTAGTAGAATTCCTCCACCCATTCACAATTGCGAACTATATCATATTAACTACTATACATTTCTAGAGAATTTTAATGACTGCATCTTTATAATAATCCATTTGTCAACAAGTCCTCACCTGTCAGCTTTTTGAAAGATTAGTATATACGTTTTGGCGAGGTATATCCACTCATAATATTTTTTAACTATCTATTAATCTGTCTATTATTGATATTTGTCCATATCGTAGCTTAATATCGTATAATATTGTATCGTTCATCTGTTTACTAAATTCAAAAATTCAAACCCGGTTTCCTATGGCAACCAGTGAGGTATTGAGATGAGGGAGGTGCGTTCCTTAATATCATGGAAGATTTATTCTTTTTATTTGTTCTGTTCACATGATCCTCTATGCAGATTACCGTATTCCACCTCATATCAAATTAAAATAAATTAAATTTTTTCCATTTCATTATTTATATATTTGATGAAGTCTTTATTTGCTATAAGATAGGAACCAATTCTCAGAAATTTCAAATAGCTTTGAAATAAGTATTTCTGAATATTTAAGTATTTGCTTATCAGATTCTCAAATTTCTTGATAAGTTTAATTTTAATCTATTCCCCAATTATTATTTAAATTTCCTATTTGTGTTTGTGTTATTTAGACATTATTATTTATTAATTTTTTTTAGTGCTGACAACACCGTATTTACTTCAAATCAGCGTTTGCGAGAATTGCGACTGAAGAGAGAGAGAGAGAGAGAGTTACCTGTTCCATCAGTTCGGCCAAGAACTCTTTGTATAAGTCGGGCTTGCGACGAAACAGGTAAGACATACAAAATGGCCAAAACAAAACGTTACCACATCATTTGTCTGGCTCACACCAGCACAAAGTCGAAACGGTTAACTTAACACAGACAGCAGCGACCAGCATGGAAAGTAAATATATAAAAATGAGAAAGTAACAACAATAAACGATGCGATAATACCGCAGTTGGGCTAAGTGAGGGTTAGAGAGTCGTGGAGCAGACGGCAGCGTATGAGCGCAACGCTTAGTCAACCCGTAGAATGGATTTTAGAATACTAAATGAAAAAGTGTTTGCATGAGGTGCGCGCAACGTAATTAAATGTTCATGTTTTTGTTATTGCTTCTGTATGAAAATTAAATTTAAAAGTGAAATTAAAAACGCAACGAATAATAAAGGTTGAATCCGTTTTAATTAGCGAGGTTGCACAAGATTTCCACGGCGATCAGTGCCTCAATTGTTTGTGTATCTCTTGTTGAATCGCAACCAGCAGCAGTTATGGCACAGAAGTCAAAATTTTGGATATATGCACTTGGCCACCGCCCAAAAAATGCAGTAAATAATTTATTAACAACATTTTATATCTTATTGATTACTAAATTTGGATATGGTGCAGCGCAATTACTAGAGGATACGCAATATTATTACGTTGGTTGTTACACAGAGCGAACCGATCTACCGCAAGAATCTATCTTCTCAAAAACGCCACAGAGCTGCATTGAAATCTGTGAACATCAAACGCACAAATACGCTATTTTATCGGCCGAACAATGCTACTGTTCTGACAATCTCATAGCAGAAGAACGACAGGATGAACAATTATGCAATAAGCGCTGCATGGCGAATAAGTCACAATACTGTGGTGGTGCAGGTGTGCACAGTTATTATATTATCATAACAGCGCGGGACGCTTCTCCAAACAATCTCAAAGTTACGAATGCTACAGAAAACAGTCTCACTATAACATGGCAGGCAGTATTATCCATAAAACGTACTGCACCTGGCATGAATGCAGCTCAAACACTGGAAGTCACTAACTACCTCATCAAGTATGAAGTAATGCATACATATTCCTCGCTGCCATTTTTTCCGCAGCATGAATTCATCTTGCAAAGCACAGAGCAAAGTTTTGAAATCACTGATTTGCATCCAGCCACCGATTATAATATAAGCGTGGACGCTATGTGTGGGGAACTGACGTGTGGTAGTGCATCTGTCGTTGGCAGCACTATTGTAGGCACACCGAGTCCTACGCCACGTCAACCCCGTATTTTGGCCACCACTGATGAAACTATTTCAATTGAAATTCCGCCGATCAAAAATGACAATGGACCTGTAACGAGAGTTTTGATTATTGTGGAACGTTTAGATGATTTACTAAGTCAGCCATTTGATAGCGATTTGCTTGGTACTTGGCAGAGTGCACAAAAGAATGGTGTACCTTATTACATAACCGGTGAGCTGGATTATCAACAGACAGATCAAAATCGTTCCCGAGATTTTGTTGTTGGAGACGGAAAACGTTATGGAGCATATTCAAATCCAGTGTTAGACAACAAAAAAGGTCATGTTCACATTAGTCTCGGAATAGTAAGTATTCATGCAGTTTTTGCATCGTTTATTAGAACCTAATAATAAGTTTAATTCTGACTAATAGGTAAGCATTTTGAATGGTAATACAAAGACACTTTACACACACAGCACACATGATCAGCATCAAACTTCTTTAGATGACTTCACTTATGCAACCTTCGATTCTGGACGTGAATCCATCATAGCTTTAGCGGTTACATGTGTTATATTTGGCACATGCCTAGTTCTTAGTTTGATGACGTATTTCTATCTGCGCTACAAAACTTGTCAAAGTCGCGGTGGCTTAGGAAACGCACATGAAATGACCATGCAAGTGCCAATCATAGAACGTGAGAATAATGGATTTGTAGTCGAGGACGATTTACCCACTGCCGATAACTTTAAACAACAATTAGATGAGATAGTTACAAGCTTAGAGAACACTCAACGATTGCACAGAAATGCACTGCGCATGAATGTTAACGATATTGTGGCCGAAGGTCGCTACGGTGAGGTAATAACAGGCAAACTAATTTCCTCTAGTGTTCCGGAAGTTAATTATGATTGCCAGTTGCATGTACTATCGCTTGATGATCTGTCCAGCAACGATCAAGCACATTTGTTGAAAGATTTTCGCAATTTGTCGCGTCTGCAACGTCATGAACACATTTTGGACTTCTATGGCGTTTCAGCCAGTGCAGATTGGTTTTATATTGTGTTCGAATATCAGGCTGTCAGTTTAAAGCGTCGTCTAATAGAGAGTCGACGTGCGCCTAATAGTGCACCCGCAGAACGCATTTCATCATTGACAGAGCAACTAGTGCTGCAGTGGATTTATGAGATCACCAATGCCATGGAATACTTAAATAGCTGCAAAATTGTACATAAAGAGCTGTGTACGCATAGCGTATTTGTAACAGCAGATTCGAAAATAAAACTTTCGATATTTGGACCCATACCGTTTGCAAGCAATCGACAAAAGGTAGACATAACACGATGGTTGGCACCTGAAACACTGCGTCATCAACATTATTCCACCAAATCGGATGTCTGGTCATTTGGTTGTGTGGCTTGGGAGTGCTGTACGTTGGGTGGCACGCTTTACGCTAACATCGCTAACAGTCAGCAATTATTGGATGCGATTAAGTGTGGGGCGCGACCTGTACAACCTGATTTCGTATATCAGGATCTTTATCAGTTGCTATTGAATTGTTGGCAACTTGAGCCTAGTGAACGTACTACATTCGATGACATTGCTTACAATGTACGGCAACTAATGACTTCGCCAAAGCATGCACTTTGCTTTGATCGTACACCAAATAATGCAATCGATACGCTGCCATATTATTTACCAATGCTTGAAACACTCAACTAAGGTGAGACTGTCGAAGGGCAGCATTTGCAACTGCAATGCTGTAGAAGATTTATGAGTGTCGTAGGAATGCATGTGCATCATATTTGGATTTAGTATTTCTTGTAAATTTTACGAACATTTAAAAATAATAATTTAATTAATTAAATGACACATGAATTGGACAATGCCAAGAATTTTTCTGTAAATAAAAACTAAACTGTGACCATTTTATTTAGACTTTATGTTTGTCAAGAGCAGAAACGCTGCTAAAAACTTATGCCAAAATTAAATAAATTAATTTGGTCTTTAATAATAAATAAAAGTCGACTTTTGTTGACTGATTAAATAAATTTTTCACAAAAGCTTACATCATTTTATTACTTCACATTGACAATTGAGAAAAAATTAAAAAGAAATCACATTCGAAAAATAACAAACATTAAATAGAATTACTCAAGACAAAGCAATATCCATAACACAAAAAGGCTAGGAGCCAGATAAAATATTCTACGTAATCTATAATAACCTTATGATTTTTGGAACTAAAATAAATATAAAATTCAATATAAGAGATCATCAATATCTATACATGTCGCAGAGAGATGATCTACGGCTGCCGCTTTTCAAACCAAAATAAATGCAAAACGTACTACCATATTTAACCATATGGCTTTGTAGTCAGTCAATATGTTATCGAAATATTTTCTACCTCTTCTAATAATTTTATAATCGTACTTTTTTTTAGTCTAGAATTGCGTTTTGTACGTTTTCCAAAGATTTGGATTGCAATAAAGCAATGATCAACAACCAACTGTTCTGTATGAAGTCTCATATTGGTATTCTCTAATCATTTGATTGCTAATGATTACTAACTGCACTTGCTTAAAGAACTATCTTAGCCAGTATGTATTAGGTCGTATGGATTTAAGATGATAAATTTTAATTATGACTTCGAGAAATTATAAACTCAAAATAATTACTACGAATTTATCAAATCATTTCTCTTGTGTTTCATATATATAAATCACTAGAGAAATATGATATATAAACATTAATTATATATATTCTTGATGCATTCTCTATTTGTTAAGTTGATATATAATAAATAGAATCAGATAATTTATGGTTAGATAATTATCCTTATTTTAAAGTAATAATTTGTTATGGTTAAATTAATTATGTTAAATTTTTAACTGATAAAATTGAATAGGTCTCTATGGTTCCAGCATTGATTGCCATTCATAATTCTCGCTAGAGTTACATTTTGGAAGACAGGTAAACCGAATAGGTTTCCTTAGATACTGGAAAACTATATAGGTGTTATTATAAAACCAGAAAGAATCAATTAAGCCTAATTAAATCGATATTGAAATAAAAGACCTACTATGACGACCTACATATTCCTTATATGTGAAAAACATAGTTTACTGCAGTTCTTTGTTTTTATTTAAATGGGTTTGTTTTTGAAATCTTCCTTCCTCATAACTTCAATCTATATCTGCAATTAATTTATTTATAATTCTTAAATTCTTATTAATATTTATACGATTGTTAATAAGTGTGTGCTATACAAACATATATATAGAACGCATTAAGTTATTTTTTAAAGCAGAAATATAATTTATTTAAATTTTAGATACTCACAGTAAACAATAAAGAAGTCAGTTTTATAATGTAATAATTTATATACTTTTTTAATCTATATCACTTGAATGGAATAGAAAAACTGCTTATCTAATATAATTTTTTTTTTTTAAATAATGAGTTTACACTGTAAAAATAGTTTCAATACTGTATGTTTTCGATCATTTCGTTATTTTCGAATTGTTCGGACGTCATAAGGCATATAGCTTATATATGTACGGATATATTTAATGAGAAAATTTTATATTTGCACCTTTGCACTGGAATTTTTATTATTTTTTGTTTTTTATTTTCGAATAATTTTCTGTAAAATAAATCAATATAAACAAAAAATCTGCATTGTCACCTATTCAATGGTCTCTAATAATTACAATATATTATATATACATAGACTATATACACAAATATGTATATATACCCACAGTATGTGTATATTGTATTTCGAAACGATATTTAGAAACGGGAAAACGAAATTTCGAACTACGCGCTTCACCTTAATAACAAAAACTGTCTGAACAAACAACAAAACATTTTGAATAATGTATAAAATAATTTTTAATCATATTCGATCAAGTGAAGAGGAGAAAATGAGCGCAAATATCGGTTCTACCATTAAAACAGAGAATTTTGTGCAATATTTGAAATTAATAAAATAAAAATAGAAAGAAGCACATTAATTGGTCTAAAGGTCATCAAATCGTCGCTCATAAATTTATTAAGTGCTGCAAACGAAATTGTTCTGTTCTTAATTTAATTTAGTTTTCGTATCCGAAGATCTGAAGAAAATATTGTTCTATATATTTTTAGAAAATTTAATGCTTAGGTAAAAAAGTGACTACATATTTTAGAATTAGTCACGTTGAAGAGATATTTAATTTATTTGTTGTTAATGGAGAGATTTTAGTATCTAAAATAAATTAAAAATTATTTTTAATGACACAAGACAGTGGAACTAAAAGGGGTGATAAGACTTTGTTATTTAATTAATTTTTTATATTATCACTAATAAATATTTTGTGATTTTTACGCAAATAACGCAAGACAGACTATATATTTCATATAATGTCTTTATTAATTTTAGCAATAGTTATATTGCCCGAAAATCATTTATTTATTTTTTTTTTAAAGAAAATTATATAGGCTGGGATTTTTTTGAAAAGTGTGTATTTGCATAATGACACATTTCCCAATTCTGGACATAAACTAGTATTTCTGTTCATTTGTATCATCTTTAGTGCTGTAAACTAGCATTTTTGCTTGTTTTGACTGTTTTTAGTTTAATTAACTAGCACCTTTACTATTTTATTCCATTTATTAGTACTGTTAGAACAATTGCTTATTCTACAATACACATATAAAGAGCTTGTGCTTTGATTCAGAATTCAAATTAATCCATTTAAGTAGAGTAAATTATATACAGTACCACATTTTTATATACTTCAGTAAATGAATTTGTAAATTTTAAGTGTTCTATGTATATGGTTGTATAACTATATAACTGAACGATTTAACGAACATTGAGTTAAAACAATAACAATAAGAAATATACTTAAGATATCTTCTTAATTTGTAGTAATTAAGAAAGTGCATTATTTTTATTCAGTATTTCATATTTCAAAAAGTTTGTTTATTTTTGTTTGAAATTTCCTTTTTAATTTGATTGGCTGACATATTTTCTATTTGTCTTTATCAATAATTTTTGCCGTATTGGAAAGTATCGAGTCAGTATTCATTTATTGTAATTGATGTTAATTAGTGAATAATTGTGTTCTTGGACTCAATTAGTTCGATTACGAAAATGCATTTATTGTAGTGTAGTGTAAATACACATTAGTAACAATTATATTTGACAAACTGATCGGAAATGGGCTAAAAACCTCTAAGATCAAATATAATATACTTCATAAAAACAACATACTTTTAATAACAAAATCAAATAAAAGTAATTCTTTATAGTTTAAGAATTGTAAGATAAACGTACAATATATAATACACTTAAAGGTAGATATACGAACATAGATATAGCGACAGTTGCTCATAATGAAGAAATATGCAAACATCGTTGTCAACGTGCGGAGCATACCAAATTGCATTTTGGTAAAGAAGACTTGTTTAAAAAAATTGTTTCTACAACTTTATATTGTAAGATAGCTTTGTTTTTGAGATGTCGGACTTTCAAGTTGGAAATTTTTACATGAATACTACTCCAACACCCGTAATCTGACAGTTTTATTTGTTGTGTAATCAAGGAAAAACTGCATATAATGATTAGTACTATCAATGAAAATAGTATTTTCATTGTAATTTTTCGAGTATCACTCAATTTCTTTCCTTCATCTTTTTTGGATAAACGATGCAATTTACTGTTCATTTAAATTTTAATTATTAAAATTATTATGATTCGTTTTCATACACGAACCACTGTTACGGTTATACTTTATACATATACTTTATACATCTACGGTATCTTAATTAGAAAATCTAATTCAATAAAATTAAAATTGTTCAAAATATAAGATAGAAATGTCTGCTCGATCAGTCAACATCTATTCATGGTTACAATGATTATGTAGTGAGTCAACGAGCGCTCAATAAGTTTGCGAGATAATTCACATATGATTTAATCACAAATTAATTTAAGTATATGTTAATTAATTCCTTTTAAATAATTATAATAAATGGCACCGACATTAGTTGACGTATTATAAGAAATTTTGATATATGCATACATTGAATTTTAGCACATGCTTTAATTTATTAAATATTTCTAAAACAATTTCAGTGTTATTTTTATGTATAATTATTCTTCAGGTTTCATGAAATGAGCAATTATTTTGTTTTTATCAACCGCTCGCCATTTGAATTCGTCCCACTGTCAAAGTAATAAAGATCGGCGAAAAAAACAAAACACAAAATTCCAATTGGATTCGATGTGACAGTTAACAATATTTTTTTCCTTTATTTAAGGCATTTTGTAAACTTGTTTGACAGCATCAACGAATTAAAGCTTAAAAAATTATGCCATAAAAATAATAAAAACTAATATGAGGTCTACGATTATTAAATTACATTTTCAGATTATTAGAAGAGACCAAAGACGACAATAAGAAAGCTTATCAGTGCGTGGACAATGCGGACAAAATTCTGATAAGAACAACCGCCAGCAGCAACAGTGAGGCATAAAACTTATTAAATTGCAAGTGGAAAAAATCATTTATATAAAGACTCGTGGCCTCAGCCAAGGCGAACTGGTTAACATGTTGCCATACTAATATCAACAATTATTAACCTTTTATAAAAATATTATGTGTATGTGTATATGCAAATACTTCAAAAAATATAAAACAAAATATTACGCAGTTGCTGCTGGCATTTGGTACACTTAATAGTAATTAAAAAAACATAGGCTAGAATAAATATGCCAAACACAACAATGCCAACAATAACAATAGAATCACAAAAAGTTAAGCGCTTACATCTAACTATTCTGCGTGGTAGTACCTTTTTAAGTTAAGGTTACACTAATATATTTATTTATTTTTAACTATTATGAAATTCATTTACATTTCTATATCTCATTGTTATTGTTTATGCTCACTAGTATTGGGAATCGTCCATTATTATTTTTAACTGTTAGAATTTTGTGCAACAGAAAAACTGTTCAGGTATTTATCAAATTTAATTAATGTTATCATTCATTATTTTGTAAAAACTTACTTTTGATGTATATTCACTTTTTTTCTTTCTTTCTTTTTTTGCATTAATTTACAATAATGTTTATAAAAACACACTACAATTCCCGATCAAATATATATCTGCTAAAAATTAACGAACTGATTCTTTTTTACCCTCTATTATATGTCATGTTTTTAGATTTTGTTTTTGTTGCGCCCTCTTGTGCAATGCGTGCGCCAGAAAAAGACGACTGTTCTTACTTGTTGGCACACGTCAATATCATAGGATTTATGCGGCTATGTTCAGTTTGATTAAAGAAAAATGTTGCCACACTACAAAAATTTATAATCAAGTTTTAATTATAAAATTTATTGTTCATTAAATTAAGCAGATCATATATACTTTATGCAGGTATGTATTTCAATTAACTTTAAAATTTATTCGCAGTCTGTATATTACGTATTTACTACATTTTATTAAAACAGACTCATTATTTGCATAACATTAAAATCTTTAAATACTTATGATCTTTTAAATATTGTGTTATATTATAGTAATTGGACATAATTTGCATAACACAGTACACTATTATATTAAAAATTAATAAGAATGACTAAGGTATAAGGTATTTACTCTAACCTCAAATGACTCATTTCAAATCAATCATTTGAAAGTGTTTACATTGTTGTTATTTATATGTTATAATTTCAAACAGCTGATTTGTCAATGTGCCTGTTGATTGATTTTTGGTCCCTGTCAAAAAATGTTGCATGAAGGTAAAATATACATTGAAAACTTATAAACTGAAAAGTTATTTTTAGCTCCGATTAATTTATTTTTGGGAAGTAGAAGTTTCAAAAAGAGGTGCATCATTTTTAAGGAAATGCAACCACCAAATATTTGTTTAACCTTTTTTGTAAATATGAAAAACTTTTAACTTTTATTATGCTTTGTTCAATATATTCATTTGCATTTGGAACTCATTTAAAACTCATTGGAACTCATTCGTACAAAATTAGTAAATGGAACTCATTTGCACATATGAGATTTTTTATGCAGAAATTAGTCATTTGCTTCTCATTTGTGATATTTGACCCAAATCACTCATTTGAGGCCAGTGTAAATGCTATATAATATAACACAATATTAATCATTTTAGTTTTTTTTTTGTATAATAATTGCTACTTCTATACATAAATTAAAAGTCCGGAATATTTTATTTTATTTTAATATAATTATTTCGAATAATTATACATATACGGAACTTAGAAATAAGTACTACATAAGTAGCTAGTTAATTGCGACAATACTTTAATTAACGTCATGTAAATGCACCATAAAACAAATAACATTCATTGCTTTTGAAAATAAAATATTATTTTTAACTATATTTTGGTTTTTATTAGAGTCTATAAATTTAAACGGAAAATCGAGATTTAATTATAAACTATTATTTTACATTAAAATAAGTAAAATAGTTGTATTGCACAAAATAAATATTTTTAATATGGAAATAATTACATATTTATGAATTAATTAATTTGGAATATTATTATATTATTACCAATTAATAATTTAAATATAAATTTATATTTTATTAGATTTTGTAAAACCATCCTAACCACAAAGTTTTTAAACTAAATCTTAATTTACTTAATTTATGATAAACTTTTGAACTTTTAAATTTAAATTAAATTTAATACTTTTGTTATTGAGGACTCATCATATATAGCTATTTTTTCCGACTTAATTGAACAGCGTTGCATGCAGTTTTCTGGTTTGAACCAATGCAAGATGCATAACCCATAGCGTAAGGTATATAATTTTGTTCATAAGTACCGCTAAATAAGTGAGCAAAAGGTCCACTTGCAAATACTGCTACATCATCACCGCCATGAGTCTCTGATGCCAGTGGTATAGCAGTGGGGAACATATACTCTTTATGATTCATTTCTACTTCAACCAAGTTTTTTCTTTTCATCACACCATTTTGTTGTAAATAATTATAATTAAAACCAGGACCATTGGCATAACTCAATGTAGCATAAGGCAGTTTGTCAGCTGCTAATTGGCCATTATTTATACCGAATATATCATTTTTTCGACTAGAGTAACCAGCCACTGACATTGTGTGCGAATGATCTGAAGTAACCACAATGAGTGTGTCATCAATACTGGTGTGTTCACGAGCGTAATCTATAGCTTTTGCAAATTCTGCTGTTTCATCAAGCGCTTTCATAGCTAAGGTTTTATGATGTGCATGATCAATGCGTCCACCCTCAACGAACAACAAATACCCTTTATCGTTACTTAGTCGTTCTAAGATATTCAGAGCAACATTTACAAGTTCATTAAGATCCGGAATTATAGTTTTGTTTGCATCTAAATGAAAAGGCATATGATTACCGGCAAAAAGTCCCAATAAATGATCTGTATTATGTGGTAGCTATATTAGGAAAATACAAGAAAATTTTATCTTTAATAATTTTGTTGAAGAGAATTTATATAATTTTTTGAAATTAATGAGATTTGTGTCTAAGTAAAGTAATCATAAGCAATTATTATATGACTATAGCCTAATGACTATTAATTTCATTAAAGTAATGAATTTTTATTACCGACGACATTACCTTTTTTTAAAAACTAATTTTTAAACGTGATTACTATTACTGATTTATAAATTATTATATCATAACTTTTTAAAAACATAATAAAACTAGCATGAAATAACGTACATGCAACAGTTCCTCTTTCGTTTGGACGTAATACGCATGAGAACCATGTTCTTGCTGCCATTCTTTTATCAAATTTTTATTATCCAAACGCCTTCCTGGTTCTCCGTTTAAATCGTTTTCCGTATGAGGTAAAAAATGAACGCGTCCACCGCCTAAAATAACTTTAAATTTTTTACCAACTTTACCATGGATTAGTTGCGTTGCAATATCTGGGCAAAGGTCAGGATCACCATTATCTTTTAGTACTTCAGCATCATTTTCCCAATTACGGTTTGCAATGTGCGCATAAAGACCAGCTGGAGAAGCATGTGTAACGGCAGTAGTAGTTATTAAACCAGTTGCTAAGCCTTGCTCCTGTGCCCACTCAGCTATTGAACTTATATGATGATAAGTATTATTCTGTGCTATGCAATCACTAAGTTCCACTGCTGCATTTACTCCAATTGTAGCATAGTTCGCTTTTACACCACCTAAATAAGCTGTGGCAGTGCAAGCCGAGTCTGCAACTTGGGTATTTGCACAATATGTCTAATATGAAGTAATTGATTTAAAAATAAACACATATTAAGTATATTGTAGAAGATCTTGTATTCATATATAGAAAATTGATATAAGCATCATTAGCCTACCTTACTTAAACCTATGTATGGGAATTTCTCAAATGAGAATTGTTTTTCCTCCCCACCAATATATACTCGTGCTGCTGTTATGGTTGGTATGGACATACCGTCCCCCAAAAACATGATTACATTTTTTGCCACATTTGTATTGAGTAGGGTCTTGCTCTCTAATTGCTGTGTTAGTATATTTTGCCCAATATTCTTCCAATATTCTGAGTAGTATTCCTCCGGAATCGATGCATCAAATTTAAGACGGGGCATAGCGCGTTTCTGTAATTTTTTTGTTGGAAACTTAAGTAAAGGATGAAGAGCATCTGCATCACTGTATCTATTGATGACTGGGTAAATTGAAATAGAGAAATTTAAATAGATTAACTAAAATGATAATAACATACATTTGAAATGTATTCATTATCTATATGTACACTTAATTATGAACTTTACAGTTTAAGGTACTTCAAAAATCTATAAGTGGTTATTTACTTAAATTGTATAATTTTATAACGCTCTTAAAGCCATTCAAAATAATTATATTGCTTACCGTGTGCATTTAAACTGATCACTCCTACGAATAAAACAATTAGAATAAAATTGATACTTTTAATTTGCAACATTTTTTTTCAATGTAATAATTTATGGCTTATATATATATAAAAGAAAGTCAGTTTTATTATAAAAGATTATTAAAGATTTTAAAAGAGTTCAAGAATTGCACTTATTAAAAGAAACTTCGAATGAAACTGAATGGCTTGGTTTCAAAGTAACTCTATTTATAAAGTGGATTATGATCCATAAATGTTTTCGAAAATCATCGAATCATCAAAAAGTACCAAACTGAGGAAAGCATACTTTATTTTACACAAAGAGAAGAAAGAAGAATTTGATACTATCTATTACAAGAAAAACACTTCTTGGAATAGATTAGATGCCCTCACAATATGAGAACGTAATGTTTAACCGCAATGTACTTCTATACTTGATTTTAATTTTAATATATTTCAAATTTGGGCTTATATACCTATAAGTATATACATATACATATATTTTACTATGAAATAGTGTATATCTTATGTCGTGTAGATTAGTAAAATTGATGCTCAGATACTTTTTTTTTGCTTTTCATACTCGTCTGTGATAAGACATTTTGTCTCATGTGTTCATTGAAAACACGTTTCAGTTTATTTTTCTCGTTTTGGACGCACTGATAACGAAACCGAAGATGATCCGCAAACTATTATGTTCACGTGATCTTGCTTCTTCATTAATTGACCCGCCTTTTTTTATTTTTTTTTTATGCAACTTAAGTCTATAAATAATTCACGTGATAAGGATTTTATTTATTTCATTAATTTTTGTGTTTCTCACTGTATTTTAAACGTTCTACAATTAAACAATTATGAAAATAGAATCTATTGAATGGAAATTAAAAACCGGAATCGAATCTTTTTACGTCTATATTTTAAATGTTAAAATTTCATATTTTTGCAAGTGGATATAGCTTTAATTGAAAGCCACATATAGATTACAAATATTTCGCAGATTAGAACCGATTGTGTTTATGAGTTTAGTTATATTTAATACTATTAATTGTACTTATTCTTGTTTTCTGAAGTCTAACAATTAGATCCGATTGTTTATTGTGACCAAACTAACTGATTTGGTCACACCAAAACCAATTTTGTCCAGACCAGATGCGATCCCGGGCCAATAACAATCACTGTTCAGATTGGAGGGCCGCAGAAAAAAATACAAACGTTCATAGTTGCCATAGTTATATAATTCTAAATACTGTTATAATGTTAAATTTAGTTTTTTTATTTGGTATATCTTAAAAATAAAATAATGTGGTTTTGCCAGTACACAAAAAGAAATTTTGCGTAATTGTAGTAGAATTAGAAAAGAAACATCTAAAATTCAAGCGGTTCAAAGGTTAACTCAAAGGATACAATAAAAATAAAATTTCAAATTAGAATTCGAATTCTACTGAATACTGATCGAATAATATATATGCAATATAACAAAGTAACAACTCCAACTGACTACAAAACTCTTCATATCATTTAATAAAGTAATAAAGGCTTATATAATTAATGCCAAATATTGTCGAGTATTTTTATGTATTTCTTTGTATTATTTCGTGTTTATATACATAGTTTAACTGTTGGTATGTAGGAATGACCGGAGTGCATTATATTTAGTTTGATTACGATCGAATTATGTCGGATATTATTTAATAAAAATAAGAAAAATAGAAAAAAATTGTATATAAAATTATTGATAAGTTAGTAGATATTTATTTTTTTATATATTTAGGCACTTCAAAATTTTAGGAAAAATTGCTGATGTATTTAGATGAGTTTGTCAAATAAGCATTCCATAGTGTCCTGGCTAGCATTAGAGAAAGTGGTCATTGCGTTCACCCATAATATATGTAAATAAACTAATTGAATTTAAAACTGTGGATGGAGAAAAATAAAATTAGTAAACACGAAGTAAAATATTAAATATTACTTTTTTTTATTAATATACACAAAACTATATCCTCATCCTCGATTCAGGTGAAACAATCTAAAAGTGAATTCTCAACAGTATTTCAACCGTACGAGAAATTATCCCAAAATCCGAATAAATGTACAACATTCAACATAATTTTAGCAGAACTACCATGACCATTTCACTTCGGAGAAATTCTGAATGGAAAGTATTTTAACATATATATATTTTATAAATTTATTACATAAAAATAGTCACAGTATCCAAAAAAATTATATATCTGAAATTTATTTATCATATATTATATTGTGAACTGTAAATACCGAAGAGAATTGTATGATTTCTTACTTAAAGAATGATAAAAATCACATTAGAGGAGGCTGTCAATTACCAATAATATCAAAAAAATATCTGAAAGACTATACACTCCTAAATGTCTCAATACATTAAAAACAACTTTTTTAAATTCGTTAAATTTAAACTGTTAATCGCCTGTTTCTCAATTATAAACATTTTCCATATATCAAGAGAAATGTTATTGTGTGTACAAAATAGTATAACATTAAACTAAAAAGTCCTTAATGATAAAATTAGATTCTGTTATATATTGACAATGTAAATATTAATATTTTTGCATTAAAAAATTTTATTTCACAAACAAAACGTTACTTAATTTTATTTTGCCAAAACTTTTAAACTTGTATAAGAATTTATCGTTGCCTACTTTTAAGTCGTACTGTATTTGGTACTGAAATATTACATTCTTTCAATACAGCATAGTACAGCACAGTACAGCACAGCACAGCATCAAAACAAAAACAGAAAATATATTTTCTCCATACACCTTTATCAGCACATGTAGGCATAACATTAGCACGCGTTTTCATAAAACTGCGCCCACCACCCACTCAGTATGTTACTATACAAATGAGCAATACATACTCGCATACTCGCAAAGTACGAAGAGCAAGGAAAATATAAAAGCAAAAAAATGCTGCTTCTTACATTCAGTCAATATTGTTATTGTTGCTGGTATTTTTCACAGCATCCACATATAATGAATTCCACTTCTCATCTGTTTCATGTACGTATTAAATTTAACTGAGAATAAAATTTGTGTGAGCTGTTGTTGTTGTTATATTATTGTAGTTGTGGATTTTATTTATAGGAAAATTGATTTGGTTTTTCATCAAATTTACTTAGTAGTACTCTGTAAAATAGTTGGTTCTCGCATGCAAAACGCAAAATACCAACATATTTTGCAAAAGGCGCGTATTCATTTTTTCTACACTACATTCATAAAAGAATTCTAAAATTATTGCATATAAAGTTTTGTGAAATATAAAATAAAGTGTCCTCAAAATTTCATAATAAAATTTGAATCAACAAAATTGTCGTTAAAACTAAATGAAAATGATTAAAAAAGTGTAGATATTTAACGGTTTAAATTTTAACTTATTTAAAGTTTGTTATTCATTGTTAATAAGTGTGTTATGAATATGTAGATGCAAAAAATAGTTAATACTATTGCTGAATTCAAAAAGTAAAATAATAATAAAAAAATTATGTTGAAGGAAATTGTGTATAAGCATTTGTGACAAATGAGATGTGGACATTTTTCGTTGAACGTGCGCTTGTAGTAGTGAAGGAATACAATGTAATTTAATTTCTTTTTTATTTAAATAAAAAATTACAAATAATAAGTAAATTTAAAACGCTTTTTGTGATCATTTTTATATTTTATTAAACCGTTAAATGTACATCAAACCAATTTAAAGCATAAATTTTGCAATTTGGTAATTGAAAATTTCAGTATCTATTGCTTAATACATACGAAATATCCTTAAAGTAAAAAAAGTACAAACATACAAACACGTATCGTAAATAAATTTTACTAAAAAAGTGTGAATTTAATAAATTAACTAATTTACATTGACAGAAAAATTTTTAAATTTTTATAAAATTGATTATTTTCAAAGTTTAAATTTTTGATTGAATGTGAAAATATTTAAAGAACTGAACAAATTTTTAAGCTTAATTTATATAATGCATGTTTTTAGATTTAAAAAAAAAAAATCAATAAATATTGATATATTAAATAATAAATGTAAAGATTCTAAATCAATATAACTCCAAAAAAATGAGACATTTTAATTTTTACCATTTGATATCAAAACTCATTAAATAGGTGTGTATAACGGTATATTTCGTAGATTTATGTACGCACAAACATTATTATATACTGCATACATAAAAAAAATGTCTTCGCAGCATCCAAAATCGAAAACTTGATTCAAAATTGTTGAACTTCCAACTTCCAGCTTTAAATTATTCTATTTACTTATTTATTTACATTTAATGTTTATACCTTTTGTTTTTATTTAGTGTTTATATTAAAAAAACTGTGTTGCTATATATTTATTATCCCTTGTGCTAGTTTGTTTATTTAAGGTGTTGCCATATTGAAGCTCCTATTTTTAAAGATTGTAAATAATTGTACATTGCAATATTAGTGGAATGATGAATAATAATTATTCTTATTACATTATTTTTTGATTAAATATAATTATAATTATTTTGTTTACCATTAATTAAAAATATTTATTATAACACATTTCTAAAATAATATATTTTGAATATATATCATACATATCAAATTTTGATGAATATTTAATTTTTTCTTGTTAAGATCTAATGAAAAAAGAAATTAGTATATTACAGACCGTTATATATGACAGGCCGAAAATTTTAGACACATTTCCTTCAAAATGCTTCTTTTTATGCAAATACTATATAATACTTTCACTAAAACATTTATTGAGAAAGGTCTTAATCATACAAAGTTTTCATTACCCAGATATCCCAGGTGTGAATTAAGATACATGAGAGATAATAAATGGGCTTCAGTGAGAGCTAATTTATTAGATTTAAATGTTTGCGTCATTTTAATTTTTAAATTTATTCATAAATAAATAAATATATAAATTATACATGTTATAATTTCTACTTTATATATCACAAAGTTTTATAAGAACTTATCATTTAATAAATATCTGCATTTTTAATAATATTAATTGCGATCAATATGAATTCTGCAATTTTTTTAAGTTGTGAACTTCAACATAGCATATTTCGCGTATATTTATTTAGCACATATTTATTTTTTATATAAATTCATATACAAACCTAAAAAATAATTTGATTCCATAAACAGCATCCTTATTCAAATTAGTCGCTGTGGCATCCTTCTCTCATCTCAATCGTCTTCATATATTTTATAACAAAATACATAAAGACGCGAAGTATAACGAACATATAAAAACGAATGAATATGTTATATTAAATAAAATTGTTATGAACAGCAAAAATTATGTATAGAAATATAACAACAAATCTCATACATCAGCAGTAATATTTCGCAAAAAATAACATAATACAATGTATGTAACAACAACCACGACAGTCAGACATTTTGTAGTCAGCTAACTATTTTAAACAGAAAATACAAACAAAATGATAAACATCCCCTCCCACAATTGTTTACGCCATACTCATTCCTTTAACTGTTTGCTTGCGAGTATTGTGTAAAATGTATTCACACACATATACAAAAACAATATATAAATAGTTACCAATTTGCACGGTTAACGTAAAGTTTCTGCAAAATTATTTCTATTCCACGGCTCTATTCTGGTGTTGATGCTGGCATTTTTGTTGTTATTGCCACCGATGCTGTAACTATTTTATTATTTTCGTTATTTATGACGGAATGTAATATATTTACAAGAAAAAAAAACGCGTTTGTGTGTTGTTTATTTTTGTAAAGGCAAGGATGCCAATTCAAAAAGGTGGTATGGAGAAGGGCAAAAATTGAGTGTGGTATACGTTAATGTTTGAAAGTTTTTTTCGTAATTTTTATGAATGTAACTGTTCTTATATATATAGAATTATATGTATGCGTGCCTGTGTTTACTTATTACTGTTGATGCTACTGCTTTCATTGTGTACATTGTTGTAGTTGTTGTTGACTTCTTCTGCAATATGTGTTGCTTTTGTAATATCAAATACTGGCAGTGTTGATGAGGATGTTGATGGCGTGCAATCATTAAAGTGACGACCTTCACCTATTTTAATTCTTAAACCGAATAATTTTCGTCCTCACCCTTCCTCAGTCGTAGCAAAAATAACACACGAATACCAATAATACATATATTACAAATTTTCTGAGGTAAAAGCAGAGTCGCAATATTTCTGTATTTTCATTATTGGAACTTAAATTTTACATTTCTTTTAAGTTTTATTAATAAGAAGCATGTTACGTGCGTCTCGTGCCGTGTTAATTAATTATATTATGTTTTATTTTTTCCCACTGTACATTTTGAAAACCATATAAAATATAAAAAATGTCACTGATGGTTTTTGCGCGTGATAGTAAAGACGTGTAGGGGGTTTGTATGTTTACATTGAATTTGTGCTATGTCTTGTTAAAGTTTTAATTATTGTTGTCGTTTTGATGGCACAACAGTTTTTGTTAATTAATTATGAAAAAATACATTTTAAGCTTGATTATAATTATTTTTAAAATAATTTAAATTTAAAATTTTTCATTAATGGGTGGAATTCATTGAGTATTTATACATGCTCCTTTGGAGAAACATTTTTTAATAACTCTGAAAAGCTTCCTTAGAACTACTTTAAATATTTTAATTTCAATATTTCAAAAAAATTGATCATTTAATATTTACTTCAAAAAATATATAAAATAAATAACACGAGTCAAACTAAACTATTTTTTAAATAATATATGTAAATACATATATATATATTCTAAAATAACTTTATGCTTGCAATCAATTAAAATATATATCGGAGCATTGGTTATGCAAAACAAAATGTTAGGTTAGATAGAAGTGATAACCTTATGCAATAAATCTCACTTATGCACAACTAATGACCCGTTGTGACACCATGAATGAAACACCGTCCGTATGCCAGAGTTTTAAAATTACTTTAAAGATAGAAGTCCCAAACACCTAATGCATTAATGGCGTCATTAATGTGGCCCGACTTACCCCTTTTAAGTAGAAGAAAACCAACGTGACAAGCCTATGAACTTGGCTTCATTTTTAATTTTCAAAGATGACAGCTCTGTCTGTTCACTTAGAAAAAGAGCCCCCGAAGGAGGTATAGTGCAGTTTTCTTCTCATCAGCGGGGCCAAAACCACAACAAAAACCGATAGAGGTTAGACCCAGTTTTATCGGTGTTAGCTCCAATACCATAATACTAAGCTGGCTGCTACGAAATTTCTTCGATTTGGACCAGCTAAGTCTAATGATTGAACAGGAATCTTTATCTTTCCAGGCTTTTGTCGGTAACCCTAGATATTTATTTTGATCTCAGAGCAGCATTTCTGCTCTCAAATTTTAATCATGTCAACAGTTACCCAAATGTCCATGTTAATATGTCAGCAAAACTACTTTATATAGATTCCAACAATATCTGGGTGGTATAAACTCGGATGATTAGAAATGAATATAACTTTTGAGGGATGGAGCATTCTAATAACTTATAGTACGGTATGTGTACTGTACTCCTATCAACACAATTCATTTATTAAAGGAAAAGTTTAGAATTCCTGCTTTACAGATGACCTTGTAACGTATTCATTAGCTTTATATCACTTAGGACTATAGCAACCTAGACTAAAGATATTAAGCGTACTTCCTCTGATCAAAAATTATACTTACAGGAAGAGCAAAATTTGTATTTGACGTTGTTTGACTTTACCTTGGTAATTCTAATACGTTAAATTAATTTTTAATTGATTAATATGTGCATTTACTAAATATACTTTTTCAACACTAAAACATGTCGTTTGTGCTCGTAACTGAAAAATTTTTTGATTTTGAATAATTATTTTATTTTTAAAATTAATGTAATTTTTTTGCAATTTTTATTTGAATTTTATTGTAAAACTGGAGAGTTTTTGTTGGTAAATAATTAAAATACACTGAGATGTGTTAAATGCTTACATCTTCTCCTTCACCTTCTAATCATTTGCAGTGTTGTTCAACTACGCATCGCTGCATGACTTGTAATACATCAAAATTAATTTGCGCGTAATGTAAACATTACAAAAAGCATGTGGGCGTATTCCATCCCTGTGAGTTGATCGATGAATATCTAAGCATAGGAATATCTATTTAAATATGTTTGCATGCGATGTATATATATATATTTAATTTTGTGTGTAAATGAATCGTTTTAAACTCAAAAATGCAATTCAATTGCATTTATTAATACATATTTACAAAATTCCTTCCAAAAGCAAAGTGAACGCTGTAAATCAAAAGTATACGGCACTCTTTGAAGCAACAACAATGTAGTGTCAAAAGCAAAACAATTTTGATTAACAAAATAAAACTAATAAAAAGCATTTATTGGCATCAAAATATTTAAGATGTTTACAAAGTATTTTCAATTGATACGAAATATACAAGAGTAAGCACGTTTTTATATGGTTTTTTATGTTTCGTCTTTTATATATCTTGGCGTGCCACATGAAGTAGATATACCAAAGATAAAGAAATACATATGCGCTTTTTTTTTATTCATTTATTTTGTATCTTTTCAACATCGCATAAATTTTATTTGTGACTTTATTTTTGTGAATTAATTGTTTTTTTTTTTGTTTTCTGAAACAAAAATAATATCAAAAACAAAAACAAAAAATAGAAATTGAAGCGATATAAATATGGAAAATGGAGTGCACAGCATCTATACAGCTACTATGTATACAGTAACTTCCATCATGCACACACATTCCAATACATACATAGCCAAACAAAAACCGAAGCATACTAGCAGGCACTCGCACTGGCACTGACATAGCCACTGCAGATTCCTTCATACAAGCAAAACATCAGCAGTGTAAATAGCGCAGACACTCTTGTACGCAAACAAAAGTGCGAGGGAAATTCTCACATTGAAAGTGTATATCTATGTCGGCTTGTGTGTTTGTGTGTGTGAGTCCATGTGATGTTTGTTGTTTATGTGTTGTGCTATAATGCTGTGCTATATGGTACATGGTATATAGTATAATTTATCGATTGGTGTGCTGCTACAGTTTTTGTGCTTTTTGATTGTGAATAATAGAAAAGAGGATCAAGTACAAATACATTAAAATAAAAAGGATTAAGTAAAAAAATTTATAAAAATAAAACCATATACACACCCTAAATTTTAGTAGGACACGCAAATTAAATAAAAAGTACGGTTTAGTATGTTTTGAAGAAGAAACTACAATCTCTAATTACAGAGATTTTTGATAGAAAAATAAATTTACTGATAAAATATTTAATACTGAATTTCAGATGAACAAAATGTAGCAACGCGATGAGAACTTTCAAATTTTATATTTGAATTAAAGCAAATGCAAGCTAGTTTTATTATTAAAATATTATTTAAAAATAAAAACTGAAAAATTTTAAACATTTAAATAAATAAACAAATAAACAAATAAAGTGAAAAGTAACCACCTTCACAAGTTGTAAGATAAATAAGTCTGCTGTTTTTTCTTTGCGTAACGAATTTAGTGCAAAAACAATCTTTATTAAATCGTTATTAAATTTCAATTAATCTGAAATAATGGCTAAATCCTTGATCAATGCAAACTGCTCAATATCTTTAAAGTGTGCTTATGTCAGCTGTCTAAGCAACTTCCCTCTTAATATTAATCCTGAAACTCTTTCGTGTGGTTGTGAATAAAAAATTATATATAAAAACTAAATTCAATTAATTAAAAAATAATTAAATAATATTAAGCTTTCATAAACTTTGCAAAACTATGCAAAATTATGCAAAACTGTTAAAGATACAATTACATATACTTAAACTCAATAACAGTCTTTTAAATGCATCTATACAATATAAAATAATGAAAATAAATCTCAACTTAATAATTGTTAAATATATTTGAAATGTAATTTATCATCAAAGTGTGCACATTTGAGAAATTTTAAAAGTTTTTAATTAACTAAAATAATTATAAATTTAGTTTTTAACGTTTTACATTGTAAGCCTAGCGTTTAATGCTCAAACAACCGTCCTTTTTACATTATATAAACTAAATACTCAATATAAATATACTTAATATGTAGTGTCTAATAAAACTATAAACGTATGTAAATGTTAATGTTATTTTATATAAATGTTGAACTATCGAAACAATATTCATTATAATACAAAATTAAAAACATATAAAACTTACAAAAACCTAAAAGCAGGTTGTACAGTTGCAATACAAACAGGAAAGTAAATATATGTCTAGAAAAAAATAAATGAAATAAAGTGCAAATAAACTAGAGTTTTGTAGAGAGAATTAGGTTTATGAAACAGTAGTAAAATATTCCCGTTCCAAATATCCAGAAAATATAAATAATAATGTCTCCAGTGCATTTTGTGAAAAAAAATAATACTAGAAACTGAAGAAATTTCCACATATGTATACTGCTGTGTCAAGCGACGATCATCTATTCTGAACATATATATTACCAACAAAGCAATACAACTGGAAAGCCGCTTCACGGCAAATGCATCACAAATCCAAGGTAAGCACCAAATATTTTGTAATGTTTGTTCTCTGTGATATGAATGAAACTGTCTTAATTTTTTCTCTCTACCTATACTGTTTATTAATTTTTATGATTTAATAAACTTAATATTCAATGAGTATATGTTATAGTTCAAATAGTTCCAGCTATCTATATAATCCATTTGCAACAAATAATTCAAATATGGAAATAGTCCGGATAGTTTTAAAAATGTATGACTTGTACTCGTACAAATTAAGTCTCACATGGTTTGAATTAAAGTTAGTATTTAAATATGGTGTAGTGTTTGTAATGGACTGAACAGTGCTAACTCTTTTTGTAACAGAGAGTTACAAAAAGAACTATAAAATGTAAAATTATTTTTTTGAATTATTAAAACCATTATATAGCTAAAATTAGGATTTTATTTTGTGAAATGTGAAATTTTGTGTGGAATTATTCGTATTTTATTACTAATTTGTTTTCATCTAAGACTGTATTATAAGATTAAACCATTCAACATATGCTTCCCAGACTCTAGTCATTGTTAACTTCTTCACATAAGCCAATGACTTCAAATAATTTGACCAAAAACCGGACAACTGGCGGTAAATCACATAATCTAAGACGTTTCACTGAAGCTATATTTCTAGAGATAATATTGTTATTGAATATATACTTTCTTTCATACATATGTGGATTTGTCTGATAATATAACAAGTGTCATGCACTTAAAAACTTAGTCTAGGGCATGTTTCCTTACACATCGATTTATTAATCATTGTTCCTGATGCCATTGACGATGAAATTCAGATTTTTCTCATTTTTTAAAAAGTTCTCGTTATTATGGTATTTCATCAATTCATAAACAGCACTTAGCTTAGCTGCCAAGTTTTGTAAGGCTGTCTTCCAGCCTTAATGGCTACCTGCCTGACATAATCCTTTTGTGTCTTAAGTTTTCTGATAGTAATTGTCTTGTCTAAATATTTGTGGAATATATTTCGGTTTAAAATACTGAAACCATTGATCTCAGACTAACGGTTAACGGAGTTGTGGATTCTAGAGCCCGATCCCTGGAAATGTTAGTCAACAGATTAATTATATGGTGTTTTGAGTTTTTAAAAAGCGCGAGAGAACAAGAAGCAGTAACGCAAATGCTGCTTCTATACACAAAAAAGACAACAACTTTCATGTCAAGAACTTTTTATGTACACTCGTTATTTTAAAGTATACGAGTACTAAGAAAAGAATAATTTTTCAAAATTTAATCTTAAAAATATCCTTTATTTTTCCTCTGGTAAAATTAGAGAGTTTTTTATTAGTTATAAAAATTTCTTCAGATGTTAGATTATATTTGAGAATCTTCTTTATAATTTTACTCCAAATTTGTCAATTTTTTTATTTTTTTTAAATTTTATATATGTATATAATCTTATATAAACCAGTTTGATTTGGAATAATATTATTAAATATTAAATTCAGATTTAATTACTTATTGTTGTTATTTTTCTTGACCAAACTGAGAGATATAAATATTATTATTTTAATATTTTTTTTAAAATATTGTGTATAAATGAATACAGAAGAATATGTTAATAGTTAATATAACAAACACATATATTATAGATATTTTGCTATATACATTTGATTATTTTTTAAACATTCTACGTTATATGTTGTTTGTAAATTTTTCTAGTGTATTTTTGTGATTTTATTAGATGTTGACAATCTTCGTGCAGAATTTATGTGCATTAAAAAAAATATATTTTTATTTATAAATAAATTTATGTTTGGATTAAAGTCACTCAAACCTACAAACATATTTGTATATAGCACACAGTTTGCTAAGATACATCAAAGTCGAAAATATTATAAAATTTATATAATGCAGCAAATAGAATCTATATAGTTATACTATTTGTGTTATATATAATTTCAGAAAAATAATAATATAAAATTTTTTAAAAGGTTTAAAGAATTTTAATGTTATCTTAATGAAACATTATGTTAT